ACCATCTTTCTTTGTAGGTGCCCTCCCATTGCATTCTGGCAAGAAGATGCCGAACAAAGAAGGGGAAATGAGAATGGAGAGGAAGCAAAGGCTGTCTGTGACTCAGAGGAGGACGTGGCTTTAGCCCTTTTCCGCTTCCTGGAGCTGGGGGAGCAGGCATTTGACTAGAGCTTGGTAATCACCTCGGGCGCCATCCTTGCAGGTCCGGTGGTTCACCTACCGCAGCTCCGCCTATGCTTCTGGAACAGGAGTAGGGAAGTTTTGATCAGTCTCCAGCGCCAGCGTAAGGTCGGGTGCAAAGGTGATTGGCTGACTGGGCTTGAAGGAGACTTGAAGGAAGGCTTGAAGGGGACTTCAAGGGAGCTTTAAGGGGCTTCAAGGGAAACTTCAAGGGGATTTAAGGGAACTTTATGGGGAAGCTTCAAGGAAGCTTTAAGAAAGACCCTTTTTGTTTCATTTTTGGTTGACCCTTCAAGTCTTCTTCAGATCTCTTAAAACCCTTGAGGGATAAATCTTTCATTTTTTAACGGTACTTCTACGTTGCGTTGAAAATCGATCAGTGTTCTTTTTGTTCCATTTTGGTTAACCCTTCAAGCTCAGTCGTGTTCGTAAAAGAGGTAATAGTAGTCGTTGTTGTGGTAGTAGGAGTCGTCGTACTAGTAGTAGTGGAGAAGGGATTTTAGTTTAAATTCCACCTTTTGGGAAGTATTCCGCTGAGCTTCTCCACCAATGCTGCATTTTGTTTGAACTCGCGTGCGCTTGTTTTTTGCAGAATCTGATCCCTACATTGATTTCAAGCTGCTTTCAAGTTCAAATTTTCAGGTTAAAGAGGTTTGCTTGCAGCCATCGCAGCGCGAATTTCAACAACTCTCTCTGTCTAACTTGCCCGTCCGTTAGTGTTAGCTAGTTGGACAGCTTCTTCTACGTTCGAGAATGTCGGAGCTGGGTGGGTTGCTCTCGTGTCGGACTTTAGGTCTTGCGTTTTTTGTTTGCCTTTTGTCAGCCTGATGGTTTGCCTTAATTCTGCACCTGCCGTAGGCAGCTGTTACCAAATGTCACAGTTACACTGCCAGTAGGTTCTGCCACAATTCAGGTTTGTGTAGGCCAAGAAGAGGCAACCTCACCGCACTGGCCACCTCGGGCACAAGCGACATTGCAATGACCAGGCAGGATGCATTATGCCTACAGTGCCTTCCCTTGAAGTTCCCCTTGAAGGTCCCCCCTTTGAAGCTTTCTTCAACGAAGATCGAACCCCCCTTCGGGCCTCCTTTAAGGAAGACCTTCAAGAGGACCCTTGAAGCCCCCTTGAAGCCCCTTAAAGCCCTTGAAGACCCTCTTCGCTGAAGGGGAAAGGGCCCATTCAGCAGCAGCGCAACCTAACTCTCCCCGTAATCAAGGGTCTTCCAAGCAAAAACCGGCATTCTAAAGACTGCAGGTGTCTTAGGATCTCGGTGTTTTAAGGTGTCTCAAGGTGTCTTGTGTCTTTAATGTCTTAAAGTGGGTGTCTCTCTTGGAGTGTCTCGACGTGCTCGAAGTGTGTCTCGGAGTGTCTTGGTGTATCTCGTGTGTCTCGGTGTCTCTTGGTGTCTCTCGGTGTCTCGGTGTGGGTATGGGTTAAAAAAACTCTCGTACAAGAAGTCAAAAAGAGCCCTACAGCTTCTAGTTTTGTGAACATCCGTGCGCCCAAGAAAGACTGTTGCGCTTTGACCGGAAGTTCTTGCTAAATATGGGAACGCTCATAAGCCAGATGGCGGAGCTTTTGGCCAGTGTAGAACCAGCTTGGCAGATTTATCCATTCCAAGCGTAGATGGAGCCGTTACATATCAAATCGTGGCCATGCGTTCATCTTTGAAGCACGCTACCCATTCCAAGAGCATTGTTCCAATAATTGGAAACAGAATTATAGACAGTCTGTAAAAGTTTATCACCGCCTTGAGCATGCAACATCTCTGGAAGCAATGCAACGTATTAGTGTTAAGTAGACAGCTGTGCTGGCCAGCATATTGGATCGGCGCAGGCGTTGGCAAAGAGAATTCCGTCAGAGTCACACACTTTTGTTTCTTGCAGACTTAGCAAGCCTTGTTACGTTCACAATTGCGGTGAACCTTAGCCCGGTTTGCAGAGCTTGATTCAGTTTGTCTTTTGCATTTGGTACATGTTGGACACACATGTTGGCAAATTGCCCAGTTGTTCGAAGCACTTGTTCTATGGTTGCTTGAAAGCCAAGTTTTGTAGATGAGCATGTGCTGATCTTCGCCAGTAAATGTCAGTTTGTCCATGGTCTTGCTGCGTCAGCCTGATTCTCTTGACAAGTCGGGTGAGAAATGCCAAGAGCCTTCGAGTTCCGTTCACCATGACTGAAGAGTATGCCAGAGATTTCGAACAAAGCGTGGTGATCTTCAGCCCAATCAAGATCTTTGGACTTATGAAACGTAGTTCCGCATCCCGAGGGATTGAGCCGAGCGATGACTCGTCCTTTGCGGCAGGTTGCTTCCGTCGAGGTATCGACTTGTGATGGTCTTGTGTGCGGCAAAAGATCCTGCTTCTCTCGAGCATGATGTTTTGGATGCTCTTATAGGAGTTGAGTTTCTACTGGACAATCTTCCGCTAGTTGATGTCATTCCCGCAGAAGTTGAGTCGTCTGAGATACCTTCCTCTTCGTCAGGGGGTTACCCAAAGAACATCTCGAAGCAAGCTCTGATGGTCCTGCTGCGTCTGCGCTTCCTGAAGGGGACAAGCCTCTGGATTTGGTTCGCCTGGATTCCCCGTTGTGGATGATGCACATGTCAGTGATCGAGTTCGCAAACTGAGAGATGAAGCTGTAATCGCTTGTCCCACTTCCCAAAGAACCCGTTCTGTGATGTGCAAGCAATCCAAGCTCTTATCCAGAAAAGTGCGTCGCAAGCCTCGTGATGAAGACTTTGAGCTTGAAGCCTCGGAATTTGGAGAAGTCATCGAGCTGATCACATTCATGTGTTCAAGTCACTCGGCGACTCCAATGCTCCCGGAAGAGAGTGTGTCGAGCAGTGCCCTGTTCAATGACGCGTTGCCTTTACTTGAGGTTTGGCAAACCGTGATTCCTGGCATCAAGCTTTTGTGTCATGCAAATAATGAATCTTGTATCGCCATTATCCGTAAAGGATATTCAGCTAAGCTGAGAAAGGTAATCCTTCGACGAAGGCTCTTTCAATCCGGAAATGGGCTCATGCACTAAAGTTGCTGAACATTTCTACTAAACATCTGCCAGATGTTCCCAGCTAAGTGTGTTCGCCATCACTTAAAGCTTTGTTACAATTGCCTCTGGTGATAATGTTGCGATGGTTGTTCAGCTGAGCGATGCTTCCGTCACTGTGCAACTTGCAGACACTCGGATGCCCAGCGGCCGCTCTCTTCATCCTTGTGTCATCCGAATGAGCTCTTGAAGAACTCCTTCCTAAATCACTGCCTATCCTCAATCTTGCACTGTGTGATGTCGGTGTTTGGCTGCTGCCTAACGCCGCTCTGACTCTGCGTGAGCACAGCTGTGCTTCTGATTGGGAGTAGTCTTGTGCAGTATCCATCATCGTGCTTTTGCAGACACTTGGATATGAGCCATCATCCCTGTGTCATCTGAATGAGTTCTTAAGGATCTCGTTTTACTCCCGCCTTGCACTGCGTGATGTCAGTGTCCGGCTGCCCCCAAGCGCCGCTCTGACTCCGCCTGAGCACAGTCCTGCACCGGTTGAGAGTAGTTTTGTATAGATTGCAAGTAGAATTTCCTTATTATTAAAGGTGTATTGAGTCTGCGTTTCAGCCTGATTTTCCTGAGATACTGGATTCAATTTGTACATGGCTAAGCCTGTACTTCAATCGACAGTAGGTTTGGCTGCAGAGTTGAGCTCGTAGCTGATGCTTCCTGAAGTCCAGAATCGAGCTTCAAATGAGCTCTAGGACTTGAGAGTCTGCAAACATGAAGGGGGGAGTTGCTAATTTACGGGTATCCTCCTTGTATAGTCATGTTGTGCAGACCAGGACTACGACCTGCTGTCACCTTTTGGCTCAAGATGAAAAAGGGCCGCTCTGAAAGCGGTTTGTACGCAGGGTTGAGGGCTGTGTTGATCCCTAACCCTTTGTGGTTCTTCCTCTTGTTGCCTTGTTCCCTAAGCTCAGGCATCAGAGTTTTTGAGTCTTTCAACTATCACATGTAGTATGTGAACTGTGGAATAGCACGTACGTTTTCGGTTTTGTTGCTCATTCCATCTGCAATGCGCATTGCCTTCCTTTCCTTCCTTGCCTTATTGTGGAAAAGCAGCGGTAGATCCTGCGAGTCGGGTGCAGATATGGAAATTCAATTGGGCATTTGCCAAGTTCTCGTGCATGTTCGCATCTTTGGCTCAGTTTAATTCAGCATCGCGTTTTTGAGGCAGGACAGTTTGTGGTCCAGTGGTCACAGATGATGCGTTTGTATGTTGATATTTGCGGCCTGTGTTGGGCTCGTGTTTATCGTCCTGGAGGCCTGGTGCTCTTTGGATGTGCCGAGCAGACGGGGCAACTGAAGGCAATTTGGCCTGCGTGATCTAGCGAGCCTGAGCGTGAGATGCACTTTGCACCTTTCCGTTCTCGAGCCGCGTCAGCACACAGCAAGTCAACACTGCTCGCCTCCGCTACCCTATGGACGGTCATGAGTCATGACTTTCAATTCCTACGTACGTATGGCATTAGGGTTTTCGCTTTCGAGTTGCTTCTCAGCCTGCCATGCGTTGGCAATGGGCAGCTTTGCCGCCTCACTTGTGGAAAACCCTGCGAGGTTCTTTTTGCATGTTTGGGTTGCACGCATTCACATGTCATCATGCATTGCTCAACATTGAGTTGCTTGTGTTCACGTGCGAGTAAGTGGTGTCCATGTGGCAAGATGACGAGTTAAATGGCGACGATGCGTGCCTGACAAAGCCTTGTCTAGATGTGATTCCCACATCAGTTGTTGACACTCGGCTCTAGATTTCCGTTTTTTGCCTTTTTAGGTGTTTTTCCGACCTTCGGCGAGCACGGCGTGCCTACCGCCGCAGGGAGCACGACGAGTGGGAGGCCATTGGCATGAAATCGGGTTGCAATAAACTGGTACCCACCATGAGTCTGTGGGTTTGAGGTGTTTGGGCTCGGTTGTGTAGGTCCTGGCAGATGATCCGAGCTGGCCGGGCGCCGAAGAGGCGGAGCAACTTCGAGTTTTGGGTCAGGCACGCGGAGCTTCTCTTGCCAGCAACATTGCAGCATCGCCCCACGGCATTTTTTCAATTCGTTCCAAGTTTTGGCAGCATCTTCCTGCAGGTCTGCACTGCAGGTCATGGCGTGCCAAATGCAGAGATTGTGATCTACCTTGCTTTTCGCGGCACCGTGCCTCGTCCAGCAGCTACCTTATGGACGGTCACGATTTTTCATTCCTGTGGTGTAATATACGCATGATACTAGTCTTTTCAATTTCGTGTTGCTTCTCGGCCTGCCACGCGCTGGCAATGGGCAGCTTTGCCGCTTGACTTGTGGACAACCCTGCGTTTGGGTTGCACGCATTCACATAGACGATGTTGGAATGCTTTTGAGTTTGGGTCAGTAGATGTGCCTTGAACTTGTGTTTAAGCAGCACATTTGCTGAACAGAGGTGAGTCAGGAAAATCTGGCGACAAATCTGCACGCACAATTGGTGCCTTCTGCTTTGGGAACAGGCAATGCGCTAGTCCATCGTGGATTCCAGGACTCAATCGCAAGTCACACGGGCAAGTTAGCAACGAATTCAAAAGAAATTGAGGCAAGACTTTTTCAACAAGGGCAAATTCTGTTGTGTATGATGCCAGGACGCATACTTGGCGCTCAGAACCCGTTTCTTGGGAAGGCAGAGATCACGACACATGTCCAAAGCTTCTAACTTTTTTGGTGTCATTATCTCTTGATTGTGCACGCAAAGCTCCACTCGACCCATCCAGCTTGTCAGGTTGAATGCGGTTCTGGCAGACTTGCCAGCACTCACTCCGAGCGCTGTGCTGTTACGAGCCACCGGACACAGCTTGGGCGGAGCCTTGGCGACTTGGATCAGAATGGCTTTAAGGATAGCTTTAGCTTATTGATTCATTGATGCATCCTCCATTAGCTTCGTTCAGTTTCGTTTCCTGCATGGGAAACGCGGAGACCTTGTCATTCCTTGGAACTGAGAGCCCATTGTCCTTCCAGGCCATGCTAGCCTGTGCCCTGCTCAGTTGCAGCTTCAAGTGGGGGTGCATGTGGGTTCTCAGCTGCGCTGTCCACTTGTGTTTCTGGGTGTTCGTTGTGTTTGGCCCGAGGAGAGAAAGACAGAGAGAGAGAGAGAGAGAGAGAAGATGAGAAAATGAAGGAGAAAAGAGCACCCTTGAGGCCTTGATCTGGTGACGTGTCGCGGCTTTGCCGCTCAGACCGCACTTACTCGACTGGAGACTTGGAGGTTGGAGACAACTCCCTTTGAAGCACATGTTTATCACCGCCCAGGCAGCCGAGTGTGTTACCTGGGGGTCTCCACGGGTGGGAGATGCGAACTTTGCAGCCTTGTATGCTGCCGCAGTGCCGAGAACAGCCAGATTTGTGAACAGGATGCTTGACTTCGAGCCTTGAGTTTGTTCTTGTATGTTTTTGTCCTTGAGTAGCCAGCAGCAAGTGATGTCGCCATGCAGTGCCTAGCCTTGCAAGGTTTGATGTCGTGCCAAAGCTGCCGGCTAACCATCAAGATGAGGAGGCTGGATGCAGCCAGATGCTCCAACCCGACGGTAGGAAATTGAAGCAATAGCAGAAGAATTGGTACCCTAAGTACGAGCTGCTACTCGAGGTGTCTCATGCAGCTTCTTGCATGCCAAGAGTCTGCGTCTTTTCCCGAAACATCCTTGGGTCCACGGTCGTTTTGCTTTAGTGGAAGGCACCTGGTGTTCTTCAGCGCCGGCTGAGCGCTTGGCTGCGTGCTCCGCAACTTGGTCCTGCTATGCCTCATCTGATGGAGCCAAAAGCCGTTTAACATGGTTTCTGTTTGGGCCTTGCGCCCCGTGCCGGCGTGACATTCTGAAGAATTGTGAATCGTGCCCAGGCAAGAGCACATAGGTGCTGGAGGCTATGTCCACGTCTGCCCAGCAGTGGAGCGCGGACTTGCAGAGTTCAGGGCTTCGCTTTGTTCACTTTAGAAGCTTCCAAAAGGACATGTGCGGGGGAAGAGGGGGCGGGACCAAAAAAGAGAGCAGAAGGCGAACAACAATGGGAGAAGACACTCCAGTTCTTGCCCGCAATGTAGTCATATGAGCGGCATCGATGCAGTAAGACTCTTTGTGTGAGCATTCGTTTCAGCGTTGGCAACTGCCTGCATCATGACACGACCATGACACGACCATGACACGACCAGCATCAGTTTCCAGGAGCTTGACTCCTCCTTGTTGGCCTCGGTCTCGCATCTTGCCAACGTGGTGCAGACAGCCAGAGCTGCGCAGCTCGGTAGACTTCAGCAGACGGAACCATAGACGCAGGTGTTGGGCAGCAGAACGCCTTTGAGGCTGGTACGAGTATGTTCTGATGCGTGTTCTTGAGTGCATATGGGGGAACTTTCTGGTTTCAGTTGTGTTGAGTCGTTTAGGTTCGAGGCGTTTCGAGCCACTCCTCAATCGAGACGGCAGACATGCGGTCACACACATATAGGTCACACACATATAAACGCACACATACATACCAGAAATGGTGCGTAATGTGGACTCCAGTGTCAGAGACAGGCATCCGTACACACCGAAACTGAGGGCTGGCAGGGCAGGTCGTGGTGGAAGGGATCCAGGGGCCTTGCGGGGATATGGATGTTGTCGTATTTCATGTTTTCCTCCTTTCTACACAAAGCTGTCGCCGTGCAAGACTATTGAGTACTCCCAATCCAGTTTGCGAGTCTGTGATTGCCAGTTTCGCAGCATTGTTTGGGTGTGGATGTCGCATCTGATGCCAAGCAGTCATCGCTAAGGTTTTCCAATGTTCGATCTGCTGCAGCAGGCGGAGAAGTACAATGTCCTTTCTCCTGTGCACAAGAACGTGAATGAATGTAGAATGTGCCGGTCCCTGTCAGATCATACAGCAGATCGCATGGCTGTGACAATGGAGGAGACCTGCTTTGATCTGCTACTGCATGCGTCTTGCAATGGCTTCACCGTTGCCAAATCCTTTCCGCCACACAGTGGTGTCGTTGTGGAGGAAATAAAGAAGTCGGCAGAAGCGATGTTTCCGCACAGGCAACGGGCAGAAGAGGGGTCTCGAAAGATGGGTACTAGTTTTTTTTTTTTTTCCAAGGCCTTGCAATGCTTTTGCCCTCGCAGGTTGGATGCCTACGAACGCAACTTGGAGATGTTCCTTCGAGACCGGCGCTAGCACCGAAAGAGATGAAGCAGACTGCATGCTGCATGCTGTAAAGATGTATGCTGCTGCCTGAGACAGTGCCTGAGACAGACCTTGGCCTAATCTTTGTACAGGGGCTGAGCCTAAACATCCCCAGGTTTCGCTTTCTGCACAGCAGTGGCTTTGCATTCACATGCCGTTTTTCGGTTCTTGCCTGATCCGCCTCGGTCAGCTGTCATGCTGACTATGGGATGTCGTGCTGTGGCCATCATGAGGTTAAATAGTTCTGCTGCCCTCTCTCCCGCGTGGATCCATCATTTTCCGACGTTTTTGTTTGATGAGAAGCCGTGAGTTTGTGGTTGGAGGATAGTCTTTAGTGGTTTCACGCTGCTGACGAGAAGCAACTGGTAGTCTCCATAACAAGCAAAAACACTGCGAGGGCATTCGCCTCCGAAGTCAATGGCCTTTCATAGATAAGCCATTTTTGAATGATAGGTTTTGTACTTGTATCGAAAGAAGCTGTCAGCGCCTTTTTGATTTTGACGGTACTCTGCTTTAAGCGTACCGAAAGGATAGGTGTTTCAGGGTATGATTTTCGCATGATACGTAAGTTTCTTACAGGGGCCTGCATCTCAAGGATGAGGGCGATGCATCTCAAGCGATAGGCTGCTTGTATGTGAAGTTTTTCGTATTGTCTCGTATGGATATACCAACGGACTGGAGTATCTATCCACATGTGCTTAACATGGAATCGGTTTTGAGTTGCTTTAAGGCCCTTAATAGCACCAGATTCGATAGAGTTTTTAAGACGCTTGCCAGAACTTGTAAGGGGCAGGTTGTGAATGAGCATATTGAAGTAGTTTACCAACGTATATGACAAGGTTTGGATGCAGGAATGCCTCATCGCATTCCACATCTGATGAGTTGATATCGATGCTCATTTAAACAAGTACTTTGTTGCTGAAGGGTCGATCAGGAGTCGCTTTCGCCTGTATGGTTTCCGCAAAAATCGCTCTACCAGCCAGTCCATCCATGTCCCACGCCGTGCCAAACTCCTCCTTCCATGCTCTGTGCTTAGATTGGTCTAAGGCTTTTGACTCTGTTCATTACCATTGCGGCTCTCTCTTTTTGGCCTTGCATAGGAGTTCCCGATCATACGACTCGGGTCATTGTGGCACTTTCATCCTACCTTTGTTGTTCGTGACTCCGGCCTGATATCTGAAGTCCAGACCCAAACAAAGGGTCTCCGACAGGGCTGTCCTTTCTCACCATGCTGTTCTCCCTTGTCCTCACCCTGTTCTCTTTTCCAGTTCAGCTGACCAACTCACTCGTTTTCTTCCTCTTGTTCAGAAGGGTGGCATAAACGTGGCCTCCAACTTGATGTAGCCCCCCCCCCCCCCCCCTCAGTGCTGTTCCTTTGGCAGATGAGGTTAAGCACTTCGGCGCTTACTTAGATATCAAATTTTGTCCAACAACGAAAGCACTCAAGTTACTCACTCTCAAACGAAAGTGCCGCCTCCAAGTCACTGTGCCCCTTTGGGAACCGACCGCGAGAAAGGCTCACTCATGAACTAACTCTTGAAACAAAGGTGCCATTCAAGAGGCTGTTAATCGGGCCTCTTTCTCGGTCACGAACAACCTTAAGTTTGAGACAGGATTTAGCAAGAGGAACGAGTGAACGCTGGAAAGGTACTAATTTTGGGCTATTTTCCCCATTTTGCATAACACTTGACATGTTGCCCTGCCCGAAAACCCCAATTGGTTTGCCGGTGAATCATTCAAGCATATTCAAACTACTGCATTCTATTGCATTGGCATCCCGTAGAGCCGCATGCCGATGGGCAGAGTCAGGCTTCACCGAGGCAAAACAGCCGTGGCAATTGCTGCGATCAGACTCCCCTCCTAGGCACGTAGATGCTCATAGGTCTTGTCTCAAGATGCCTTCTCGTCCAGATTGCAGGGCTACTCTAGTTGGTTTGAACAGTATGCCAATTTATAGAGCAGCTTCTCTTCTTGTCCAAAAGCAGTGAAACTCGTTGGTGTGTAAACCACTAAAACCTCGACGATGACCATAGCTACATTTAGCGCTTTGCTAGTTTCCGGTGCACAAGAAATTTGCCTAGGAGCGGCTTTCACGTTGAACGACAAAAAACATACTGAAAGACAAACCACAGGAATGTAGGGACAAGGAGAATGGTAGGGGACGAATACATATTAGAACATTAACGTTGTCCTAAGAACGGTTCGCAGTGGACCAACTCATGAAGTTATGAGTATTTCCCGATTGACTGAGTGATAATGAAGAACTTGCCGTTCAATATATGTCAGTTGTGTTTTTTTGTAGTGTGCACGCCTTGAATCTGTTTGTGAAAAAGGGACAAAACAGGTGATGTGAGAAGGTATGTCTGAGACGAAATGACAGGTAACGGATGCATGAACGCATCATGGCACATCAGCGGCCAAGTACATGAATATTAGCATGGTGTGGGAGAAATGGAGACATTGAATATCGTTCTAAATTAGCCTTCAGCATGCAGTAGTGTTCGAGGCAAGGTAAAGAACAATACGTTTTAGAAGGTTGAGAATCATGGCCATGTTCGACCGCAGGTGCGAAAGCTGTAAGACAATGAAAGATGCAAAAAGTCAGCCGAAGATTGAAGAATGGATGGACGCTGAAGCACTTCGGACAATATCTTGAATCTCCACCTTGTGCATCTTTAGTGTTTTGAATTGCAGACGGGCAATCGAAGGTTGAAAACTCTCCGCACATGTTGAAGACTTTTGCCTGAAATGCTCAACGTTCAATCTTCGGTTTGGCGTCTTGAAACTGAAGACGCTCAGGACGCCCAAGAAGAAATTGGAGATGCTGACCACATCTTTTCTGAGCATCTTCAAGCCCCATGTTCGGCTGTCCATCGCCTGTCTTGAAATTCAAGGGGTTCGAAATGGAAATCGAAGAGGTCGTCCAAAAGTCTTGCTCGGAATGTTCAGCCTTCAATCCTGGCTTGCTTGTCTTTCAAAAAACAGGCCCTCAAGACGGTCGAGATGCCAGCAAATGGAACAAACATATTCGAAGAACATGCTGACTCTTCCACTAGTGGGCAGCTGAACCCAGGACACCACTGATACCCCACACAGAACGGAGAGTTCCCATCAGGCACCAAGGCGCCCGAGCGCCTGAGGCCATGGTCCGCCACTGAGATCTAGGCGAATCTAGGCAGCGTCCTTTGCACAAGGCACTGAAGTTCTGTTGCCGGTGTCGCCTGCATCGTCTTTGCATGCATTTTCCTTGTGACGAAAGGCGCGGTGTGAATCTTGGCGGCTGGCTTTTGCTGGAGCCCGGTCCATCTGCTCCCCTTTTTCCAGGTACGGGGGAACGACTAAGCTCGTAGAACATGAGCAGCCATGGGCCCTAGTAGCTCTGACGCATCAAAGGTGAGATACAGCTCCGCTGCGAATGGTCCCTGATGGAATTTTTGAGAAGTCGCCAGGCATTCACATTCACCTCTACTGTTGCAGAATGTTTCAGCATCTCCTCTGCTGAACCCCGTGTTGCTTCAGGCCTTGCATGTCCTTCATCACCACAGGGAAACATTTATCTGTAAAGAGGACCGAGGTGCCAGTACATTGCGGGGGCATACTTTCGAAGTGAACGACAGCATCTACATTTTGTGGCTTCTGTTGTGGCTGCGCGCAGGATTTCCAGGCAATCCATGACATGGGGCTCAACTCCGTGAGGGTCCGGCGATGTGCACGAGAGTGCGAGAGAGCGAGAATGAGACAGAGGGAGAGAGGCGTGGCTGTCCAGCCAAAGCTTATTGAAATCAGTCGGTCGAACAGGGGAAAGAGAAACCAAACGCGGGTAAAAAGACATCTTGCCTTTCCATACGAATTCGAAGAACTTTCTCTGTTTGCCAGAAACAGGGGCAGCATGGTGCTGGGGAGGTTCGCACAGCAAAGCCCCCAGAAGTAAACAGAAAAGGGCCATCGATCGCCCTGACATTGCAAGTGTGCATGCTCTCTCATCATGTGTGGTTTGGCATGGCTGCCACCTTTGGTAGCATGGTTGTCAAGGCTTGTAGGTTGTGCTTTCGCCATGGCATTTTCCAGCCTCAGTTGAACTGACTCGTTGCCGTCGTGGTGAGCAGCAATCGCCGCCAAAAGGGGACCAGCAGGAAGGGTTCCGGTCTTGTATTCGGAAGGTATTAGTAAAGTGAGAAACAGATGCAGAAGAAGACAGCTCTAAGCGCAACATGAGGGTCTTGGCGACCCCCAGAAAGAAGAAGGATGACAACCGGTGTGGTGCCGCAGTTGCAACACAGGTCCCCTTCGGCTACTGGGTAGTGCTTGGCCCCGGTGCCGGGGAACCTTATGAGGCAGCGCTGCACCAGTTTGTGTCGTGCAAATGCGTGCAGGTTGATGTTGGCTCGGTAGAAGTTGAACTTTTTACATTCACACGCAGGCTTGCTTTGCCCCTCTGTTATGACGACGGGATGAACCTTGAATCTGGGAACAGCCCAACAACACCCCTTTCTGTGGCAGTCAGAACCGTACCATTAGGTTCATCTCCCGAGGGGTCATTCCTTGCCATCCCACGATGTCAACCCTTAGCAGCCCTCCAAGAAGAAACGCGACACCTTCGAACTCCTACAAACATTGTTTGCTATGAAGCTAGCTTCGGTATACCATACCCAGTGCCAGGCAGTGCCCATACCTTGTTCCACAGTAAATAACTGTCATTGCGCAGTGTTTTTTTGTGTTTTGCTATCTTTCGCTATCGAGCCCTTCAGATCCGTTCCCTGTGCTGAGGGTCCAGCGCTCGAAATACTGGACCGTGCTGTGGAATGGGCTGAGGAGTACAACCTGGAGGTTGGCTCGCCCTGGATGTGCCGAGATATGACTGGCTTAACGCTGTCTCCATTTCCGTCAAAAATGCTGTTTCCAGCCAGCTGTAGTTCTTCCTGTTGTTCATCTTCGTCCTTTTTTTCGCAACCAGACTACGTGTTGCCATGTTTGCTGCAGTTTCAGTCCTCAGTCTGCCGATTCAGCAGAAGTGGCAGAAGTGGCAGCAGTGGCCGCAGTGGCAGGTGCTGCTCGACCTCCACGGCTGCCCAGGTGGTGAAAGCTGCGCACCTAACAACCCTTCGTTTGTCTGCAGAGCCTCAGTTTGCAGGACGGTGTCGGCGAGCTTCCGTAACGCTTGTGTATTCACAAGCTAGGTCCCGATGCTCCGTGCGGCCGGCGACAGCGACCAGAATCGAAGTGGGCCGGACTCTGAAAGGTTTCCGAAGGACCTTAGGAGACTTTCCGAATAAGGCGGAGCCGCACCGCCACAGCTGGAGCTAAGAGCTAACTTTGAACCAGCACGAGTGGAGCAATGATTACTTGTTGTGATTCTGATTTGCCTTCAGACCTTGCCTGCTTTCCTAGTGGTCAGCTGTAAGCGCGCCGCTGCAGTTTGCGGGCTGAAGTGTGAGGGTTGTTGGCACGCAACGTCATCGTTAATGGCTGAGCATGTCTAAGGCATGGCAGCAGTGGCGAAGGTCGGAAACGCTCAAAGCTTTGGAGGTCAGCCAGTCTCTACCTTCGCTCCGTGCAGGGGGCGGCATGGGATTTCGCTTTTGCCAGGTCGTTGCCCGGCGATACCGTGACAGGAAGAGCGTAGGAGCCCCAGATGCCGCGACAAGCTTGCCCACTCTGGGAGCATGACGTGGTTGCTCGTGGCACGGATCTTTCTGTTGCGAAGGTCCTCAGTCCGAGCTTTAGTCTCCTTATCACAGGTTTGTTCGTGGAGTGTGTGGGTGTGTGTGCACGCGTGCTTCTGTGGTTGGTGCGTGCTTGTCTTTGTGCCGCTCCTCTCCTTGGTTTGCTAGGTTTCTGGTTCCCTTGATAGAATGGTTCCATGGGTTCCGTCGTTTTTCTGGGATTCTGTCTCGCGGTTTCATGATGTGCGTACTGGAATTTTGGCTTTCCTTGTTGGGTATTCAGTTTTTCTTGTTTCAATTGGTGCTTGCAGGGTTCTTGGTCTGGCTTTTTGTTGGCTCTGGTTAGTTTGCTTCAATGATTTCGATTGCGGCCCTTCACGAAGGGCAGGACACCCTCGAGCTCGTGCTCAAAGTGCTCAATCAGCGGGTATTTGGGAGTGGGCCTCCTCACCCCAACCACTCCTTGTGACTGCTTGCGATTGAGCCCTGTTGTAAGTGTGTGTGTGTGTGCTTCCAATTGGCCAGTCCGTGTTTGGAGGTTTCAAGTTCCACCTCTTTGCCTGATGATCTGAGATGGCTTCGTAGCGCAATCATCGTAATGCCCGTTTAAGTATCTATAGCATGCTTACTTGGGTTTTTCCATGCAAGCTTATGCTGTCCAGGTAACTGGCATTGCTGTCTGCAATGAGCCCTCGCGGCTGATTCCCGCAGAGGTCCTTGCTGGTTTCTACGACGAGGCCAGGAGTGCCAGAGAAATGCTTGAGCCTTGCTTGTTCCATGCTTGCTCCATGCCCTTGGTGCGTCAGCAGTCGGTAGGGTTCGGTTCTTTTTCTGGCTCGCTTTCATAAATGTCGCCTTGCTGATCGCAGACGGGCACGCGGAAGTTGGCGCGCGTGTGTGTGTGTGTGTGTGTGTGTGTGTGTGTGTGTGTGTGTGTGTGTGTGTGTGTGTGTGTGTGTGTGTGTGTGTGTGTGTGTGTGTGTGCGTGCACCGCCTCTTGTGCCATTCATCATGTCTTGTACCAACATGTGTTCGAGCAAAGTTTGCAGATGCCACATGCGCGTGACCTAGGCAGTTTCCACCATTCGCACTGCTGGGATGACAGACAGAGCTCCTGCCGCCATGTTTTCATGCACCCACTGTCACGCACTGATTTAGCATGTAGCACGTGTTGGTCACTGCACTACGACTGCAACCTTGCAGGCTTGACTTACGTGCTTGCTGGCCATAAATCTGAGGCTTGCTTGACGAAGAGGCTTCATAGATGATTCACAGTACAACGTGCAGTAGTTCCATCGATTGTCAAAGACTCCCTCGGCTCTGGCTCAAAAGAGCGTAGAAGCCACCAGGGTGGTCCCAGAGCCACTCGGCGCACTTGCAAACATGTATTTCCATAGGAGCTCGTAACCCTTAGTCACTTAGTCACTAAGCCTTAGTCCTCTAGTGATTTACACTGCATGCCTGTGCCTGTTGAAGATCCGCTCAGGCAGCTGGGCCATGACAGCCGAAGATGCAGAAATGGAGGCTGTCCATGAGGGACCTCACAGGTACTAGTCACGGGTAAGAGTATTGAGGCCTTGGGAACTGGCAGTTGCGCAGCTGTTCCCTGTTACGAACGCATGCTGGAAGCCAATAGCCTTAGCAGCTAGAGCTTGTCCTAGCTGACACGTGCTGTTTCATTGCCGCAGAAGCGGGATGGTTTCTCGATAGTTTTTGTGAGAGGATGCAGAGGATGCTGCACGTGAGCGCAGCCGGACACCGCCTCCAGAGGTGAAGGCTGCAGCACGCTCTGCAGAATGCTGAGCAGAATGGTATCAGAGAGAGCGCGGCTGCCAGAAGCCCAACATGCCAAGTTCGGAGACTGAACGTTCTGCAGGGCACGGCCCCTGAAGTGGACGAGAGCAGAAGGAAGCGACCCAGAAACGGGCAGCTTGTCACCAGGATGCCGCATCATGCCACATCCACATGCCTTTTTCCTCAGCCAAGCTCACCAAGATGTACGTTTTGAATCTGTTGAACCTCTTGAACCTCTGTGTGAGTTCCAAGGAAAGCTCCGAACGAGAAGAGTCCTGAAGACCAGGAGGCGCAGCTTCAAAGAGAGAGGAAAGCTTTAAACGCGGTATCATGTGCCAGCGCCGCTTTATGCCACTTTATGCCACTTCATGCTATGCTTCGAAGCCAGGAAATGGCCCGCATGGAGGCGGAATGGGCTGCGGAGACAGCAAAGAAGCGTGCAGCTGCAGAAGCCGCGGCAGCTTGGACAAGAGAAGATGAGGGGATAATGGGAACGATGGTAGTGATAATCCATGACAAGGACCGTGCACCTTAGTTGCAGGCCTGTTAATGGTCACACCCCCTTGTCAGCTTGGGTTTCCGAGGCAAGGCGGCTAATGGCCAGCAAGCGCTATGACCCTCCATTGTTTCGAGACGCGGACGGTGATACGGCTGGGCTGCTGCGGTGTTTGCTTGCCAAACGATATTGTTGCACTCGTTGTTGTGCTTTCCAGCAGAGCCAGATGCGGACATGTGATGTGTGAGAAGCTGACATGCATCAGAAGCCGATAATGATGCAGGTGAAGCAGGCTGAAGTAGCAGTCTTGTGTGAGCTAGCATTTATCATTGACTGTGTGCAGAGGCGCACGAATTTTGGGAGGAGCTTCCTCAAGTGAGAGGAGTCAATGCGCTTGCAGGGAAATGACAGGCATATACCAATGTAGCCGCAGAAGCCCAACACCAAGCGAAGGTATCGCACACATTCGCTTCGAATTCGAGTCTAGCTTTGCAGATTCAGGAAGGGGGGGGGGTGTCGGGTTTCCAAAGTCTTCAAACTCGCAAAGTAGAAATGCGTCGATTGCACGACTGCTGGTTTTTGTAGCTTTGATAGCACGGTGCAAGTTCTGCCAGTGAGCCAGTGATATGCTGAAGCTCGATATCGAGCGGAGATCTGATCCTGAAGTCTTTGAAGAGGCACCAGGCAAGGTATGACCACAATGCCATGTGAATTCGAAGTACTCCCTTAGCATTCCTTGGACCTTAAACTTAAAACCTGCACCAAGCACTCGAGTATCTCACGTAGCAGGAGAGCTGAACCAAGTGACTTCCGACAATCTCCACGAGGCTATGGCCTCGTGTCTTGCAGTGTAGTGCTTGCGCAGGGAGTTGTGGACGTGAGTTCCTTTGGGTGCGGCTCTTGCGCCGATGATGACCGGAAGTATGCGATGTGTGCAGGTCTACAAGCAGTAAGGTATCTCAGGCCACACGTTTGGCCACACAGGCCTGATCCGACATGACGACAGTGCGACCTCTGTGATTCCTCTGTGAGTCCGCCTTGAAGAGAGTCCATGGCATGTCCATGGCATGTCCATGGCATGTCCATGGTTCTTGCAAGCTCGAAGCTTTTTCAAGCTCTGTGCCAGGTCTTCAGGGAAGCGGAGGTTCTATGAGCGAAGCTTTTCTGGCACCACTTCTATGGTGGGGACTTGTGTCAAGGAAGCCGTAAGCCACAAGTGACGTACAGAGGTGCCCCCCCCATTTTTGCCGTAGATGATGCAGCTGTGTCTGAGACACAGAATGCCAGACGTCTGAGAGATCTAGCTTTGTGGTTGCCAACCTGCACTGGGCCCAGTAGGCTACTTTGCTTGAATCGCCAAACACCCTGCCCCCGCCGCCCAAGCCCCCGGCCCCAGGCCCCAGGTCTCTCAAGCGTCCTGCGTAGAAGGCAGAAGGAGTGGGACCCTTGAACGTATGTAGAACAAAGGATTGGCACTTGAACCGAACCTTTCCAAAGATCTGTTGCTGCTGCCATCTGCGCTGGTGCACTCACTGAAGGCATGATGGGTGCGGATTCGGTTGCGTCATGAACTTCAAGGAACACGCTTGTGTGGTAGGCAAGATGCATGCTTGCCCTAGACATACCAAGACCTTGTTCAGACCAAGCTCCGAGTCCGCCAGATTGCCGTCTGCTTCATCCAAAAGGGATTTGGGTTGTAACCCTTTTGGCAAACCAGCTACAAGTAACCTCCTCCTTTGTAACGTAGGGCCAACAGCAGTCCTAGAAGATGATCCCTGGACTCGACAGCTCAGTCGTAGTGAATTGCCATCACGGACAGATGCGCAGAGTCAAGAGAACTGTGGCGTCTCTGACACATCAGGGATCTTGCAACTACCAGCCCAGAAGCTACAAGAGAAGCTAGTGGAAAGCCACAAAAAGGCTGGTAGCTGCACTGTGCCTGAATTTAGCAGGCCCCCAAGCCTGCAACAAGACTTCCCGTCCGAAACGCTCGAGACAAAAAGTGGCGTGGTGTACCATGGGTTGTATTTGCGAAGTCGAGTTTCAAGCCACGGGTTTTCAGATGGCCTGCAGTTGTGTTGTGGGCATCGGTATGCCATTGTAGGAATGCCTTCATGTCCCGTGCCTTGACTTTTCAGAGGGCTGCAGGGCTGTAGCAGGAGGGCTGCCCCTCAGTTGTGACCCAAACATCTTTAGAAGCAAAACGGCGCGGCAGGTCACAGTGGTGCTGCCCGTGTTCCAGCGTTGTCTTCGAACGTGGCTTGCCAAAGCTGAAATACCGGGATGGACGCAGCTCGTCGTACCGCATCGTAGCGCCATGCAGCGCCCATCTTCACCAAGATGAGACTCTTGAGACTTCAAGCCTAGGTTTGAAGCAGTGTCCAGGCCTTACAGTATATAGGTTCTGTTGAAGACCTTGGGTCTTCTGGAAGATGTCTCTGCTCAGTGGCCCCTCGCACATTGCAGAGCCTGGAAGCCGCTTGCGACAAGTTGCAGTGACGAACAAAGGTGGCGTGAGGTTTCAAAAGGACGACACAGAAATACGTGCTTCGATGCTTCTTCCTGAGTGTTTGCAGCTCCTGCAAGTGCAGCTGCTTTGAGAACCTCCATTGTGCTGAATGCGGCCAAGCCGTAGCAGTCAGGTTCACTACTACCACTGCTTCGAAGACACATGGAACCGCATGACTCTTGCAGAGGCGGATGAAGAAGTTGGACTGAAGGGTATTCTTGGCTTTCTGAAGTGGCATTTGCTATCATCTGCTCATTGATATGGCAACTGCAATCAACTGCAGCACCTGCGGGTGGTTGAAGACCACAGCCGTGAACTCCAAGAGCTGGGCCCTCAGTGTCCGCAAGTTGTGTAGGGTGTCCCTTGCTCTCGCCGTCTCGCCGTTGCCACTCCGTTGCCCTTTGTCTCTCCCTCAGAGCCTTCGCCATGATTGCCCGTCTGCTCTTTTGCATCATTCTGGGTCCATCTGTTGCTTTCTTACGCGTCTGGACTAGCGGCTTAGCGTGCGCAGGAAGGTAGAGGCTTGGGACGGCAAAGGCTGGAAGCGCCCAGTGGAATCCTCTTGCGTGCAAGAACCTTTACCATAACTTAACCGTATGGCCTGTACTGCCATACCTATACCGCCTCTACCGGGATGTTCCGAAACACGCCACGACGGACACCTTAGTCCCTTCATCCCCGAAGCCGGAGCTGCAAAAACATTAGCTCCAGTGATGAAGTGAAACTACACATAGCTAGACGAGGAGTTTGGAATGAAGGAACTTTCCGACACGGCTTAGCAATCAGCGCAATTCGAGCGGCGACGGCGGCTGGATTTCAAGGTACGCTAGAGGCATATCTGCGGACAGTGCGAGAAACAAGCAATCGCATCGAGCACCTGACGCATTGCAAACATCGCAAGCCACAAGCGTTGAAAACTTTCAGTTTCCTCTGTGTCTACATCCAAAACCCCATCTTGCTGGGGGAAGGGCCCCCAGCAATTCAGCATCGTGGACTTCACCATAGATGCGAGGACTTAAGAGCTCTGAGTCCCAACATGCCAAGCATGGTACAACAAAAAGTTTTCGCGTGGTCACCAATACATACTCTCCACAGCTAAGAGTGCTTTCTTGAAGGTTTCCTGCTGTGGTTGGAGAGCCTCTTGGCAGAAACAGAGACGTAATCAAGGTTTCGGCAGAATAATCAGTTCCAGGTGGAGCCTTGCGCTTGGCGGCCGAGCCGCCGCAGCAATGTGTCCCAATGAGGCTGGCATCCTGAAGGGATGAAGAACCGGTCTTGGCCGCTAAGCCTCTCAGCCTCTCTACATTTTGCATGCTCTGCCCGGTATCTGTGACAGGCCATGAACCTTTTTGCCAGGGCGCAGCTTCAGGCTTACTCGCAGGTGGGCACCCTAAAAAGTGTGCAGGGGAGTGTGCGATCTGCATAAGCTTGGCGAGCATCGGCCGCGATACTCAGCAAGCTTAGCAGGGAAGCTGCCCGACAGTCCAGGTCTCCGAGGAAGCTGTGTGGAGAGTTCGGAAGACTGAGGCTTCTCGGGGCTGGTTCTTTTGGAACTGGCGCGACGGGGCCGGCCCTGCTTGGGACAGAAGGGTTTCAGAAGGGTGCATTAGGCATGTCCGATCTCGAAAACCGATTCGAAAGCCTGTGCCCGTGTGGCCTGGCAGATTCATCTTCTATGCCCGAGAACTAGTTCAAGATGTTGAAGTCCAACATTGCGTTTCGCTGTGTAACTGGGCTTTAGTTCCTCTGCATGGCAGGTGCCAGACATCGACTCACAGACCAACACTTCAGAAAGCACATCAAAGCTCTACTACGAAAAATAAGAAACGAATGCTTGCGAGCTTCCCATGCCCGACTTGAGCCCGAGTCTGGGAGCTCTAGCCTTGGGTTCCATTCTTTTGCTTTCTGGCATCTCTACGCTGGATCCAGTCTGCAGCAGCAAATTCAGCAATGTTTCATTCTTTCAGCATGTACTGCAGCGCAACATATCCAGGATGCTCTTGCATCGGTCAAGGTCTTCTGGATTTTAATTTTCAGCTTGCATGAGCCGGGAGGATTTCCGCAGCAGCTTTCAACAAGGCCTTCTGAAAGGCCTTGTCTTGCTGCGTGACTCTTGAAAGTCCATCCGATGTTACATCTCACGGGGCAGTCGCCGGAGAGGCACGGCGCCCAGCTTGCCAGCGTGGAATGGAATTGGCGAGGACAGGGTCAGGAAATGGGTCAGGAAATGTCCAGTCTCCAGCAATCTCGCTCCGGACCCTCTCCAGACCATCTTGCCAAGCATTTCGTGCAAAGCTACCTCTCTCCCTCTCTCTCTCTATCACACTCTCTCGCTCTTCATTCCTCCCCTCTTTTCCATTCTTGCTCTGGGCGGAGTGTTGTGAGAAGTGTTGGCTGCGAAGTCTGCGAAGTGTGCGAAGAGTGGGCAGAGCTGGCTTTTCCAGTCTCTGAATTTGGTACGAGAGCCCCAAACAGGATCCCTTGGAGAAGTTATTGGAAGATGCAAGTGAGGATTCTTTAGCTGCTTGGCAGTGTCTCTTTTCCTGTGAATGCGAGAGAGTCGCACTTTCTTGTGGTACATGTTTTCGGCATAAATTGAGGTTCGTTACGGCGATGCTGTCTGCCTGCGCTGCTCAAGCGGCCGGTGCATCGATGTCGAGAGGAGTAAGGCAGGGAGATAGAAAGTCTTAGAAAGTAGATGAAATTGGCATCCTGCGCGAGGCCCGTCCACATTGTTCACCTTTGCAGGAACAGCTGTCGTGGCATCACACCCACGTCACCACAATCACAATGTTGTCACCAAGTTCAAACTCCTTTGCGGAACACCTCCGCCTGTGTACCTGCGCTGATGGTGACGGAAGTGCTGCAACGTACGCTGTGATACGCTGTGCATGGCGCATCATCGCTGCTGGTGGAATCTGTCAATCAGAGTTTTGAGTATTCGTTGAACATGCAGTTGCTGAGCACGATCACACATTGGCCGAGCACGGCGCATTGTTCATTATTTACCATATTGCCATGTCAAAAGTCAGGGTAGTGTATTACGGTAGGGAGGGTAGGGGGGGCACCGTCCACGCACCGGGCTGGTCGTTTTAGCAAGGTGTCATTAGGTCTTTATAACACAAGGAAACCAAAACAAGAAACGAGGGACGTGGATTAAGACTCAGACGAATTCTCTACGTCTACTTCCTCTCTGCTTCTCGAACAAACTCCTCTATCGAATGGGTTGAACCTGGGTTGGACCCATAGTTCCCATGGTAGGCCTATGGGGGTACTTACTTTTTGTCGAAAGAACGCTCAACTTTCCGCGTAAAGAGGTTTGGCCTAAGTTTTTTTTGGGCGAAAAACGCGAGCAAGGGTCCCCCTTCCACACTTTCAAAAGACAAGCCCTTGATGTCACTGCGAAAGCTCCAGCAAATCCTCGGGGTTTGATTGCAAGCGGTTATAAATGCCTTTACGGGTTTTTTCGAAGTTTTTCGGGGCCCATACTGTAATGAGTCCTTGCAACATTTATGAGTCGTAGGGTAGGGCGGTCATTGCACATAATTCCTGCCATGACTCTCCTTAGTTTTTGACTCTACTGTACCCCTCTACAAACGCCCCCGAACTTGTGCATTTCAGATGCCGGAGGTTTCAGCTCGCTGGTTCGAGGGCCCGCGTCTCAGCCGTTGGTACGCTCTGTCGTCAGCAGAGATCGGCCAGACTCAGCACCAGTTGAGGTGGCGACTGGCAGACATTTCTTCTGTGTCCCGCGGCAAGCTCTGCCAATGCCTTTGTCAGTGAGTTTGCTAGTCCGTGTTGTCCAGCTTGCACAACAACCATCTGAGAGGGGTTCCGAACTTCTTTCCCAGTTCGTCGATAGAACTTGTTTGTCGCCCGTAACTGGCATCAGAAGCGTCCTGGAGCTGGTTGAGTGCTTACGCAAATTCAAGCGAGTTCGCAGATGTTCGCACCTTCCCAGTTGTGCAAAGGCAGGTTTCAACGGTGTGGTGCAAGATGGTGACGTGATTCGCCTGCTGGCGCACAGCGGTGTGTCTCTCAATGGATGCTTTGCTTATTGCTCTAGTGTGCCCTACATGTTTGCAATCATGCCACGAGACCATAAGCTGGAGCCCGGACTCCCTGAAAATGGTCTGGGAGATTTGGGCTCTAAGCCTCTGAGCCTCTGAGCATTCCTCTAGTTTCTAAAGATGCCTTGCAACTAGGTGTTAGCGCTCCCGTCGCCTGCACTTTTTCGTGAGGATTCATTCTTTCGAGTTTGTTTGAGTTCAGATGCCAGCAGGTTCGTTTTGCAAGAGAGGCAGAAGGACAAAAGGCTTGGAGGAAGCTCAGAGGACACCTGCAAGGGCCGCCATAGGCCTCCGGAGTTGAAGCTGACTGGAACTTGCACAAGGCTTGCAGAGAACCTTCACACCCCGGGTCTCGGCAACTCATTGCACCCTGCAAGAGACCCTGCAAGAGACCCTGCAAGAGACCCTGAGAACTCTCAGAGGCTCAACGACTAAATGCCGCCAGAGGCCCCTTGGGCGAGCCTGGTTTGAGTCGCAAGCTGACTCAGGTGTTTCCCTGGGTATCTCGACGGGCGGCAAGGCTGATGCTCTTTCATTGTCGACGTAGGGGCAGCATCAGAGTCTATGCTTTCAATGTCAACAAGACATGATTGCTGATGTAAACCTGTCAAACAAATTTGACAGTTGCGGTCACATGCCTTGGATGTTCATGTTTGTGGCTCTTCATATGCCTTCCTGCAACTTCGTGCTGCTAGCTGCTCCATTCTGGAGACTACGTACGTCGTGCAGTTGCAGCGTCTGCAATCAGGTTCTTTGCCGCCCTGGCTGCAACATCAACTGCGAGCTGACCGTTCCAAGCTTATACGTGGACTCAACTAGCTACAGCTTCAGACTGAAGTTAGGAGTTCCTGTGAGTTGGAAGAAGCTTGATACGGAGCCCGTTTTTAGCTCGCTGGGTTGCATTGTGATGGCCCCGACCCAATGTGCCAAAGTGCGGCAAGATGTTTACACAATTCAACTTGGTTTCAAAATCATTGCCTGATTGTGCCCCACCAAACGCTGGGAATGGTGCGCGTCTGGCACGTCTTGGTTTACCAGCGTTTGCTGTGACAGTGCAGCTCGCCGGCCCGGCGCTGCACAGCTGTGGATTGGCAGAATGCACAACTTTGGAGTCGGGTGTGAGTGCTTGTGCGCGGATGTGCGCGGTAGGCTGGTATGGAATGGCCTTGGCATGGCACGGTTTTGTGGAGGCCCAAGGCAGGTCGACTTTGGAAGCAGCTTGCAGCTTGAGTGAATGGCTCCGACTACGTGTTGGTGATGCGTTGTGCTGTCCAAGACTTTTCAGAAAGTAACGACGTGGGACGACCGAGTGTTCGTGGCTCTGGCGATTCTGTTTTTGGATTCCTGCTCGCCTCCCTAACTGCTGTCCGATGAGGATTCTCTCCTGCACCGCTTGAACATTTTGGTGAAGAGAATCCGCGGGGCTTCGACATGCGTCTGGGGGTGCGAGCAAAGCAGGGAAACATGGCTTGCTTCTGAGCATTTCAAGCAGACGGCCTGCGAGCCCAGAACGAACGGCACTTCAATCGGTCTTGTGCGATTGCTACGTGTTTGCCGAGGTTCTGCTGAAAGAGAGCCCAGGCTGCCGACGGCAGTTGCGACACAAGGACACTTTAGCGACACCTTTGCCAGGCGAATCGTAGCTCGCAGACTCGCAGACTTTTGCTCTCATCTACAAATGCGAGGACCGGGTACACCTCCAGTGCAGGTGCCGCGCCGACGTGTCCCAAACGGTTCAGCGTTGGTCCATGTTGGTGGTCGTAGTCAGCTTGGCAAGTCTCGGATGTTGTGGCTGGACTGACACCAGGAATTCAGGGCGCGTGTTGGACGTCGAGGGCTCGCGGGTAGCCGCCAGGTGGGCAGATGCGTTGTAGACCATCGCTCGATAGTGGTCAGCCGTAGTCAACACTTCGCAGCCTGGGTCAGGGAGGGTGTGTATTCGGGATTCTAGACACACGCACCTTCCATGGAATGCCGTTGTTCAACACCAGGTTTCAGGACTTTGGTGAATGGCAGAGCCTATCAGTCCTTGCCCCAGATCGAATACAAGCGGCATCTGCCATGCGATGTGGTCGTCGCCTTCCTGTCACTTGCTGAAGCATCTCGCTTGACAAGTCGATGATTGAAAGACTCTGTCAGCCATTGAGCAAGTCTAACTCTCCAGCACATTGCCGGGACAAGCGCTACGCACAAACCAATCTGCGATACAGTTCGCCATTCATGACCACCATGCGTGCTGCTGACGGTCCGGGATGTTTTTTCCATCAAGAGGGGTCGACGTGCATTCCCTAAATGAAAGAAAGTAGGTTTCATTTCTATACTTCTTTCTGGGCATTTGTGCTTCATCAGCAGTGTATGCCCAGATCGAGCGAAAACTTCAGCGAGATGCTGGCTCCAAAGGCACCTGCCTCATCGCTGATCACTGCTTAGGAACTGTGTGTGGATGGTATGGGGCTTCGGGGTTCGGCTTTGGCCATTTCTTTTCGAAGAGAAGTTTTCGAGTGCATAATGCCGCCCACGATTGGTTTCCTTGAGGGGTTGCCCATATCAAGCTTGGTTCTGGCTATGGTTCTGGGGGCTCTTTGGGGCTCATCGGGGCTCTTCGGGCCCTTCAAAGTCTTTTGTCTGTTCAGGTCTGAACGAGGCCGCCGAGGCCTCTGTGCTGGGGAAGGTTCTCGAGGAGGCTCCGGTGAGCCGTCAGCGGGTCGAGGAAGTCACTGGTGAGAAGCGCTTGTTCCTGCATTTCCTGGTGGCTTTGTGAGGCGACGCTATCATTGAAGCGGCCTGTGGCCCAGGGATAAATCTGTGTTGTGCAGCGACTTGCGACAGTGGCGACAGTCTGGCTTGGCCTACGACTATGGTGAATCCTGGCTTGAAGCTTTTGGCAAACTGCCCAGGACTGCAGCGGTGGCAGAGCTTGCGTTGCCCTCTCCTTTGCGAACACGGCTCACAGGCTTTCAATAGGGTTCCATGGACTGGTATGCACAGACACTGTGAGCCAGGTGCTCAAGCCAGACTGACAGCAGTTTAGCTGGAGGCTCATCCCACTTCTCACCAACGACACTGAAACTGGCGTGTTTTTAACTTGCCATCTATTTGAGGGCAGAGCCTCCAGAAAGTAGATGCTGAGCGGGCGGAAAGATGCCGCGCACTTTGCAAGTGACCCATGCAGGGTCTCAATCCCTTTCATGTCTGAGGTGCGGTACGAACTGACACTCTGACTGCTTAGACACAGACTTTCCCCAGTGTGGTGTAGATTCAACTTATACCGCATATGCCTTGTGCAGCAAGGGCAAGGACTGGTGGAAAGTAGGCCCTGCCACATGTGACAGTTCGTTCGCACAGCAGGCACATAGCTCCTGGCATGCCAGGTTTTTCCAGGAGCCGTGCGTCGTCCGTGCAACTTCAATCGGAGCAACTGACGACCAGAAGCATCAGTTCGAGAGGATGTGACTGCGACATGACTGAGTGTGCTATCGAAGTATTGTGAGAATTGTGAGGGCTCAGCAGCAACTGTGCTAGCAGTGCTAGCTTCAGTGCGGACAAAGGATGCCTTTGGATCCTTCACATTGTCAAAATTGTGGGTCAGACGCACGGCTCCGGAGTTTTCTTCCCTCCAAACGGAGAGTTGATCAACTAGTTGCAGGGAAAGCTCCAAGACATATAGACGGTTCTACGAGTCATCATCGTATGGGCAGGGACAAGTTCCCCAACAATATGCATGCACACGGAGGAGCAGGGCAAACCTTTGCTGGCGCCGTCAGTCAATCTTGCGAATGCATGAATGTTGTTGGGGTTGTGGTTATGCTTGTGCTGATGTTTCTGATGAGAACGATCCACTGAAGCTGTGAGTGAGAATACTGAGAAGACCAATGTAAGACTGCCTGCCGTTCGAGACGCCGAAGGTGTCGTTTTTTTGTAGGTGATATGAGGCGGTGATGAGAATCCGGATGGTTGATGGCTGTTCGGATCTGTTCGGTATTGTACCCTGTTGATACTGACAAACAGTGCTTACACTGGTTTTTCTCATCATCGCTGTCAGGCGCAGTAGCGTGGTGCTGTTGGGCTTGACCAGGGCATGTCGCCTTTTGACTTTTGATCTTTTGGCAATCGCGACCCCGTGTCATTGCCCTAATCTCTCATAGCTGGCTGTTGCAGAAAAGCACAGCCGTCAGCCAGATAGCATGTCTGTCTCAAGAGCCGCTCGTGGACTTGTCGCCCCGAGTTCATGACCCTCTTGGGATCCCGCGTAGCTCGCGCTTGTGTAGTTGAGCTTTGTTGAGCTGCGGCGAGCAGCAACACCTTCTCTGTTTTACAGATGCAGGCGCTTGTTCTTAAGTGTGGTTGCAGCTCACTGTGGACGAACACCACGAGGGACCCTCCGAGATTCTTCAACTGCGCATGACTTGCATGTTCTGTCTCGGGAAATTGCTTCCTCATCTTTGCACGCAGTGCAAATTGTATATAGGCCACGAGCTTCGACCGACCGTGATCTTCAGTACCCTTCGCCCGAGTTCACTGTTCTTGGTGATGGGGCATGGGGATCCCGGTATAGCGAGCGAGGTAGTTTGGAGTGAAGACGAGCGAAAACAGCTCTTTTCAAGAGACGCATCTTGTGCGTCGTGGCAAGTTGTGGAGGTTGTCTGGATGTAACGTGACTTGGTCGTCATGCAGTCGGCCTCTCTGGCTCCTTTTGTGAAGACTTGCATGTGGTTGAAGAAGTTGCAGAGGAACACTAGAGGAGCCGACTAACTTCGCAACCCTTCGCATCCGGGTTTCCGCAGCTTGTTCTTGCACACTGGCCCATTGACAGTGTCATTGCCAGTGATGCCCTTTGAAATCCTGGAAGAGGGACTGTGTTACCACGCTGAGAACTGAGAGAGCGTGGGTCTCAACTATTCACGCGCGGGTTGAAGTCTTGCCCGTGCATGGATGGAGAGCCACAAGAGCGGTCTGGCTTCCTGCTTGAATGAGTCCCTGTGGTCCAAACTTTGGCTACGGGTATCTTCAGGCAGGGCCCCCGAATGCGGTCCTAGCAAAAGCTTGCCGTTGGCCTTGTGCCACGATGTTTCTGCGAGCGGCAGTGATACTGTTCGAACGATTTGGCGCCTTGACTGCTGCTTGCTGAAGCTTTCGAGCCAGAAGCCAACAGTTCAACACTGAGGCAGCTCTTGAGTTTGCTATTCCAACGCTTTCAAGGCTTTGACTTGAAAGAGTTGACTGCACAAGCCCTTCGGTTCCCAAAAGGCCAACTTGCAGGGAAAGAGCGGACTTGCATCGAAAGAGCTGTAGAACATTGTAGAACGCTTCGTCAGCACTTGCACCAGCGACATGCGAACCCAAGAAAGCCCGCCATGGCCGGATCCGGGCGGCCTGCAGGTCCCAATGGGAAAGTTTCGCTGGTGAGTTCTTGGATGTGTGTGTGGCTGTGTGGGTGTGGGTGGATCCCGAACTACTGCGGCTCACAACTTCCGCCAAGAACAGCGGGGCAGTGATAGAGATTTTGGGATCATTGCAAGCAAAACAATCACCTTCTCTGTTGATGCACTGGGAGATGCCCCCGCTGTGCACCTTCCGATGTTTGTACATCTTCGGCAGCTGGCATCGTACTTGGTGTGCAGCTCATATATCTATATACACACATAGATTTATGTCTTTAGAGCATGGTGCTTTCCTGAAATGGTGTCTAGGGTTTAAACCAGTATGAGTGCATCAAGAAAACTAGAAGCTTTTTGAAGACCTTGAAGTCTTCAGCCGGGCTGATCCGACATGATATCATGAAAGGAGACTCCTTTGACATATGAATCCTTCATGTGTGTGCGTGTGTGTGTGTGTGTGTGTGTGTGTGTGTGTGTGTGTGTGTGTGTGTGTGTGTGTGTGTGTGTGTGTGTGTGTGTGTGTGTGTGTGTGTGTGTGTTGTGTCTGCTTGTTGTTGCTTGCTTGCTTGCCTTGATTGCTTGCTTGCTTGCTTGCTGTGCTTGCTTGCTTGCTTGCTTGCTTTGCTTGCTTGCTTGCTCTTGCTTGCTTGCTTGCTTGCTTGCTTGCTTGCTTGCTTGCTTGCTTGCTTGCTTGCTTGCTTGCTTGCTTGCTTGCTTGCTTGCTTGCTTGCTTGCTTGCTTGCTTGTTGTTTTTGTTTTTGTTTGTGTTGTGTTTGTCTTTGTGTTTGTGTTTGTGTTTGTGTTTTTTTTGTGTTTGCGTCTGTGTCTGTGTCGGTGTCTGTGTGTGTGTTGATTATTATCAGATTATCCTGTGTCAGCGCTTCTGCAAAGTGCGTGACCTGCAGATCATGGTTCTGCGGTCGCGAGGAGCAACAGCCTGATGAAGGTAACGCCTGAAGATGGTGCTGGCCCGAGCCTACAGAGATTCTTGTGTATTGCCGGAAGACTTCAGAAGACACCAACAAACTGGTTTTGAAGTGTACTACTCCGGCATCTTGATCTTCCCAATTCGGTACACTGCCGTGCACCCCCAAGCACCATAGAAAATCAGAAAAAGGCGCCAAGCGGCCGAGGAGAACCGCCAGCTTTCCATGATAGGAAGCAACCCGAGCAGACACGAACTGCACACACTACAGCAGTCCTGAGAAGAGCCAATTAGACGACTGCGGCTTCTTGGCCAATTCTAGGCACCAAGCTGGCGGTCAGTTCGCCTTTCATGCGGTGGCGTGCTGGTGAACTTGTCCACATAACTACCGAGGCGGTTGTGAGCAAGAGAGGGCTTCTTTGATCCCATGGCACTCGTGGACCCATCCGCAAGAGGACCAACGTAGCCCGGCTCGACGCTCGACCATGCGCAGCGACACATGCCCAAACAGTACTCGCCATTGCAGGGAGCATGACAAACCCCATCGCACTGCTGCTCCTACTCACTGCCCCATACCTTCAATGGATGGGACGGCGAGGTGTCAGCAAGCTCACGTCACAGGTCGAGCCGCAGTCATTTAGAGACATGGTCGCAATCACGTGAGAGTTTCCAAGCACTGAAAGTCGGGGAACCTCGTCATTTGTTGGGCATGCTGCACATGACGGCACCGCCTATTCCCTGATGCACAGGGCTTTCTCCACAGCACGATGTTTCCCCTCTGCCTGCAAAAAGCCAGACTTTTATACAAGTCCTTACAGTCACAGCAGTCGCTACACTGAGCGCGGCTACTCACAGCCTATCCGTCGGCGTCAAACACTTCAATCGGCGGGCATCAACTCAAGGATCCCTCACCCAACCTTTTCGAAGACGGGGCACTTCGCTACGTCTTTCACCTGGTTCCTTGACGTGTTTCAGGAGGAGACATGGCCTTTGCCGCTTCGCTTGCCCTCCAGCATGGGTCGAGCTTCGGTCATTGCCGGGGCCTCGATCCTCGGTCCTCCCTGATTTTTCCGACCAAGATGCTTTTCACCTCATTTTGCTTCATTCGCTGTCGACTTGATCCGGCATGAACGGCAAATACTTCAGGAATGTGCCTTGGCAGTGACGGCAACTGCGCTGACAGCAGCTCTCGTGCATCGTCCGTTCGCGACCAAGCAAGCCATGTGTGACGGCAAGCCGCTGTTTCGTGAGTAGCACCCTCCATGAGATGTCTTTACGCTGTGCTTTGTGCCAGTTCAGACCGGCAAGCTATGCTGTTTCTTTCTCTCACGATCCCTCGAGACGGAGAAGTTATCTTCTTTGACCCGCGATCTCGGTAAGGCGAGAGATCCTGCGAGGATGGGACCCCGGAGCCTGCCAGGGCCTCAAATTCAGAGTTTGCCCTGTTGACCTTTCGCCCCAGCAGTATAGACAAGGCAGTGCAGTTCATAGTAGTACAGTTCATGACACGGAGCCTTCCACACCTACTAATTTGGCTGTGTTGGTCCTACGTAGCTATGACAGTTCAAGAGGCCTTCTCGGTCACTCAGCGGGTGGCCATGCTCTGTTTGGTGGTTGCGGTTTTGTATGGCATGTCGGGCTGCCTGGGAACACCTTGGTAATATAGCACCTACAGTGTTGCTGGTGCCAAGGCCTTTGCTCCTTGTACATCCTGATCATGATTGCCGGCTGCATTTAGTGATTGAGCTGCAAGATCTGCCAAGAACCGTCCCGTGCAAGCGGAGAGGGTCTGTGGGCCGTGGCATTTTTTGCAGCGAAGCATCAGCAAAGTATTCTTATGCGTTTGTTGCAAGTGAGGTACTGTGTTCAGAGCACGTGCGGCACCAATTTGGACCCTGTTCCTGCAGACCACTTGTTAAGCATCGCTGAGTCGAGGTTTCTTGAGTGGCCGGAAAGGGGTCTCCAAAAGTGCCTGGCCTCAGATGGTTTGGGCTTTGCAGCAGCCACAGTCTTGCAGATTCTTGGCCCTACGTTGCCTTCCTTGCCTTTGCAGCGCACTGTCTCCTGTCTGTGCGGGAAGCGGAAGGCAACATTGTGCAATCAGGCTTGATCGTCGCGCGCCAGGTTTGGCTCCCGTTCCAGTCATTGGGGTCTTGACTGGAAACTTGAACAGACACTGACACTAGAACTGCAGCTCAACGCAAACCAAAGGGATCTTGGGCATCGTGCAGGGTCGCTATTGACGCTGCTTTGATGCAGGGTGTTTCTGGCTGGTTCCCCTAGACGCGTGTGAGCCACTCACTGCGCACTGTGCCGCCGATGGAGATTCTCTCAGACGACGAGGCACCTGGTCGCCTGGCCTTGTAAATCTGAGGCACATGTGTCACATGAACATAAAGCAGAGTAAATGAGAGGCCCTATGAGGCCCTGGTCTCAAGTTGTGAATGCAAGATGGCTCCGCAGGATGCTCATTGCACTGTTCACTACGTGCTTGTATAAACTTTGTGCAATTGCTGAGTCCACTATACACCGCTAGAAACTCTGTTGGGGAGGCCTAAGCCCCAACTTAGAGTCTTGAATTTCGGGGAGGGGTTTCAGGGGACAACAGGGTGGCGAACAAAATGCCAAGGCCTTCTGCGCTTGTCCAGCGGGCAGTCTCGTCGTTTGTGGCAACGCTCAGGGAGCTCTGAGTGCTAAGGCTTCTAAGGTCTCCGAAGCCGACAACTCACGCACCGGAAACAGTCACACAGCAGGGTTGACATGGGGAGACGATCCAAACCAAAGAGGGCCACTTGTGTGGCGCCCCGGGCTTTGTGCAAAAGGGCAGTACGGCAGTGAGGGTCTTTGAACGCCTGATTAGTCTTCTGAGTTTGCCGCAGCCGCCCGTGTCCACTTCTGGCATCGCCTGGCCAGGAAACTCCTCCTACAGCACCCGCGCAACCGGCGCCAGCAGCGGCCCGGGTCTCGCTTCTCAGACGAGTTGCATTGTTTTCCTGACGCTCATGAGCTCATGATGCTCTTTGCGGGTTGTTCCCAAGCCCCAAGCAGAAAAGGACGGCCTGTTTCGGCCTGTTTGAACGTCATGCCTCGCGAAGCCTCACTTTAGATGATCAGTGCCTCTGTGGGGGGGCAGGGGCGGTGTGGCACGCCTTTCACGGGGGAGGCTGGCTTTGTAGGGCGGGGTGGGTCCCCTTCCTCACTGGTCCTAGTGTGGATGGGGTGCAGGTCTTGCAGGATAGTCACCCACAAGTGCTTTTGTGGTCACCCGAAAGTGTTCCTTGTGTTCTTTAGACCATATGAAACCGGATCCCAGGCTGCACACGGTTCCCTTTGTCCCCTCATTTCCAAATTGAGGCCAGGCAAAAACAGCAAACGTGGAGGTTTGAAAAGGTGCGCCGACACAGAGAACTCCTAGAAAACTTGGATTGAGACCCCCGGAGCCTTTCTGGGCCCCTCTGGGCCCCTCTGGGCCGCTTGCCTTCGAGGTGTCGTTCCCTGACTTCCCCGAGGCGCGATCCGTGGTTATTCTCGCCTCCACTATGCTCCATGAATGCTTCGTTGCTTCTGCTTCTTCTGCTTTCCGAGTCTTTCGCAGCGCTTTGATGCAACGAGACGTCTTTCTCTCTCATGTTGCTGGTTCAAAGCGCTTTTTTGCCGTTCCCGGTTAACTGCTGTTGGCTGCTGTAGACGCACAACAGACACTCAACGCCATGGGCAGTGGCGCCAGTGCGATGACTCCAGGCCAGCTTCGTGCTGACCTGTGCTGACTGTTGCCGTTCTTGGGCAGTAGCGAGACCTATTGCCAGCACAGCTGCGCCTCACTGAAGTCTCGGCAACAACGGCGCTGGTCGTGCGACACAACTGTGTCACTACTCGTGTTTATGTTTTGGTTGGGCGGTGCTGCTCTGCTTGGCCGATTGTTGCAGGAGATGACACAAACTTGGTTGTCCAAGTACTGGTCGGGGCCTCGGTGCATGAGGTCCGCGTGACTCATTGTAGGTTGTTACGTTCACTCAGACGCAGGCATCGGGCTTTAGACTCGACCGACTGTTGATAAGGACGAGAGCGGGAAGGAGCAGTCCTCCGTGAAGTTCAAAGCCTCTTGGCGCATTGCCGCTGGTTGCGTTCAAAGGTTCACCATTGCGATGTGGCTCAGCGACTCTCAAGCCGACTATCTCGCTTCTGGCATGCTCAGCACCAGGGAGCTGTTAGGGTGTCAGTGCTAATCTGCAAGGCATTGATAGGTTTTCCACAGGTTTGAATTTGTTGCCGTGCCCTCTAGCAACTGGTGCTTGGTCTTGTTGCTCATGCCGCCCCACGCCATCAAAACTGACCGACGTGTGGCGGTGCGTAACAAATGTGTGGCGATGAAAGAAGCAGTGTGTTGTTGAGGAAGCGCGAGCTAGCTTCAGCTCAATGGCTGACGTCCTGGAGATACCTCAGCATCCTCTACCTCCAGGAAAGTCCTTGATGATTCAGCACGAAGCCAGGCCGCCTGGCTTCAACGTGTGCATGCAGCTTAGTTTCGGAGGGTTCAAGCACTGCCCGAGAAGTGCTTGCGCGACGGATTTGCAATCAAGATGTCGTCGAGTGACGACCCAGCGTTGCCCAGTCATCGCATAGCAAGATATCTGGCATGCCAGAGTGTCGAACAAGCTAGGCCTGGCATGTGCTCTTGCATTGCAGCTCCTTTCTGGCGTATGTGGGCCCTAGTCATTCTGCCAAGCGCATCTTGCAAAGCCTGCTGGAAGCAAGGTTGAAGTCCTTTCTGCAGAAAGTGCGCCGCGAGCCGCATCTGTTGGAAGAGCAGGTTGTGAATTTCAGACTGCAGCGATGAGAAACGTGGCTTTCCCGCACGTTGAGAAAGCCTCTGTAGGGTGCTCTGATGCAAATGCCATTGCTCGGAGAGCGTGGTAGATTTTCCTCAGCAGCTGATCGTTAGCCACTTTAGGACACTTTCAGGCGGAACACTTCATATGCCTCGTTAGTTACCGTATACTATAATATAATACAAGTTCTTCCCCTGCGACCTATTTCTGAAACTGTCCTGTTCTTTAGATTCTTACCTCTGAATGCAGCCTTTTCAGCTCCAAGAGCTCTGACTTGTCGTTTTTTTTCACGACCTCCACAAGCTGAGTTCCCTATTTGTGCCTTTTTCCGGGACTTGAGCACCAGCACTGAGACTCTTGAGCACCAGCTCTCAAGGCACAATGGACTCTGACTGTGAAACCTTCCACAATTCCGCATTTACCTGCCATGCAGACTGAGCTGGACAGCAACGCCTGTGATCGTCCGGCTCTTGCACCCAATCCGTGTTCCGACTTTTTAGCATTTGTCTGAAGAAGACCTTTGTCCCTGTTTCATGGCGTACAGTTGGCACGTCGCAGCAACGTGACGGAGGAAAAGAAGCGGAGGGGAGCGGAATGATCCTTCTCAAGCTTTCTCATTTTTTCCTTTTCTTTTGTTTTCGGTTTTTTTTTGAGCCTGTGCAGTTGACATGGGCATCGGTGTCCTGCTCTCGATATCCCAGGGAGAAGGGGTGACCCTGCTGAGAAGCTTTGTTTACGTTTTGATCCGTCTTGCAATTTTCTCGCTCCCACTTGCGGCTGTCAACATTGCTCCGCGCAGCATTTGACATTGATCTCGAGCGTAGAGACTCAGAGACCATGTGCGCCGAAGGTATTCAGATGCCGGCTTTCGCTCCATTCCTCCCGGGTGTTCAGCCCATGTTGCCGATGGTTCTGCAGCCGGCATCGCCCTCACTGCCGGCAATGTCCCCGATTTGTGCGATTCCTGTGGTGATGGTCGGCCTGCCCATTATTCAGGGCCAGGTCCAGGTTTACCCTGGGCTCCCGTCACAGGTGGGGTCTGTTTCAGAGATATACTGTTTTGTTCCTCTGTGTGTGTGTGTGTGTGCGCATGCTCTCGGCTGATCGGCAGTTCAGGCACCCGCTGATCATGCCTCGGACGACGCCTCAAGCACCGCCTCTTCCGCAGTGTCGGAGTCACCTGTGTTGGGCAAGGTCTGGCAACTCTCACAAAGGCGAGCAAATTTTCAAATTCAACAAGTTACAGCAACTGCAGTTGCAGCTTGATGATTGCGTGACCAGTCATGACAAAACTCAACTCCCTGGTCCTGGCGGTGCAAAGCTGGCTTAGTTCTGCCTTTCATATCCTTTCATCTGCCTTTGTGTGCGCTGCAATTGCATTTGCACCCTGCTGGAGGCAGAAAGGTTGCAGAAAAGTCCAGGACGCAATCGACCAGGCTCCCAGCATCACGGCGCAAGGTCTGCTGCAGTCTTTGCTAACAAACCAGAGCACCCCCCCACAATGCGGAACAAAATTGTTGTAATTGTTGTGAGACACACAGCTTCCTGCTTCACATGGCTACGCTTTCGCACGTGTCTGAGGCAACGAGTTGAGGAAGCAGATTGCTCGGGAGCTCTCTGGGCATGTCGACTTGGCTCAACTGGAATGTGCTGCTGCTCTGGTGGTTTTGGCACATGGATGCAATAGAATCAATAGAATCTGGAGACACCCTGCCACACGCCTGCAAGGTCGTGGGTGCAGCTGTGTCGCCCAATGCCAACCATGTCCTGCAACGGCTCGTGGCCACGCTCAGACCTCGCGACTGTCAGTTCTTCATCGACGAGCTTCTGCAGGATTCTGGGACACTGATGGGATATAAAGAAGGAACGAACTGGGACACGTACAAAAAGAAAGCAACTGTTCAAGAAACACAAACACTGGGCTCCCAAGGCCGGCGCCAAGGCAGTGCTAGAGGTCGCCCGTGTCTAAGCTGAATACAGGCCTCTGAGACGTCTAGGGATGGCGCCTCTCTCTCTTTCTCTCTCCCTGTCCTGTCTCGCGCTCTCTCTCTCTCTTTCTCTCGTTCTCTCTCGCTTTCTCTCTCTCTCTCTCATGATCTCTCGCTCTCTCCCGTTCCGTCCCTCAGTCTCTCGTCCCTCTCTGTCAGCTCGCTGCACTGAGTGCTGAACGAGCCATTCCAGGAAGTCGACGGTTTAGAGTTCAAACGCTGTCCGGTCTGACTGAGTAGCTCTTAAGAGTTGTGGTTTTTGTTTCGCTCTTCTTGCTTCCATTGCTGTGCTGCTCCGCCTCAAGGTCACCAGCCGCTCGATTTCATTGAGGTCGGTGCGACCATGCACGATGACGCAGGGTAAGGCGTGAAGGATCTCAATTCGGACAAAACAAGGAGTGTCTTAGGTGTGGAACCTGAATGTATGAGAAGCATGAGAAGCTCCTCAGACGCAACGTGGGTGATATTCTGTATCTCAGGTATGGATGCCGCGTCATTCAGCGATCCTTGAAGCAATAGTCGTGAGACTGTTGGTGTGATGCACGAGACATGTGGATACATGTAGTGCTGTCGCTTGAACACTGGCCCAGCTGTGGAAGGAGCAGTGTCTCAGCTACCATCGGCCGTCAAACATCATTGACTCTCATGGCCATGTCCTCCAAGGCCTGCTCGAGCACTGCCACGAGGATCAGCTGGAATCTTGTCTTAATACTGGATGATTTTGTGCGGCCTATTCACGGTAGCCACTATGCCTGAAGCAGAATGTCTGAAAGTCTTAGAGGGTGCTTGCGGCTTCTGCGGCTCGAACGAAGCATGCCCATGAGTGAGCAATTGCAGGAGGGAGTGGCAAGCATTCTTATGGCCGATGCATTGCCTCTCGTACGCCATGTTGCTCGAAAGCAGAGTGCTTCAGCAACACATTCACAATTGGTTTGTGTCTGTGCAGAAGCTCAGAGTTGCACTAAATTGTCAATGTTTTGCTTGCGACGCCCAGCGATGTGTTCCATGCTGCCAAGGTCTATGGCAGCTTTGACCCGGCCTTAGCTCAGTATGCCCATCTTCACACATCCAGCAGCGCATCGTCCCACGAGTGCGTGTGGCAGCAACCGGCAGACATGCCATCTCGCTCCGATGATGGCCTGGTCGGCTGGGCCGAAATGGGCAAATGACAAGCCCCCCCTTCAACGTCCACCGAAGTTGACCGATGGACCTGAACCCCGGTTTGCCCTTAAAGTACTGCAAGCCCAGCCTCGGATGGCTGAGAGCAGCAAAAAGCTGTCTGGATAAGCTATGAAGAATGTGCGATGAGGAGAAGCAGCGGTGTGAAGGATATGGCTCCAGGCACAAGGTTAGGCTGTCTGATACTTGAGCCGCATCTTCCACTGGTGTTGGAAAATTGCATCGTGCAGACATCTCCATGTCCATGGCGGCCTCGGCGGGTTCCGGTGCGATCATAACGCTTTGTTTCAAGCACAGAGTTTCCGCTTGGGATCTGTTTACCCCATGACCTTTCATGTTGCGGTTGGATAAGCTCCTGCCTCCCTGTTGTGAGCCCCCTGCCCTCTGGCTTCGGTGTGATACCGCAGCCTCTAGCTGCTTGGAAAGACCTTAGCGAACAACTCTGTGGCACTCTGGTTCGCTTCTTCCGGTTGCGGTCTTGCAGAAGAGGTTCTGGCTTCGCGTGGACATCCAGCATGTTCGCATGCGTTTCTTTCAATGACGTCGCAGATGGGCTTAGATGCGGCGCTGCTCGGTTTGTTTTCGAGTACAAGTAGCTAGGCGCAAGTTTCTCCCCTGAAAGGGTCAAGGTACCCAAACACAACTCCGTCCAGTGGTCCGGTAGTCCGGAATGGCCACGTCCTGAATCGCTGGCTTCCGCGGCTTCCGGCGTAATCGAGCCGTGCCGTGGACTTCCCTTCGCCCAAGAAAGAGGAGCATGAACTGCTGTTCTGCGCAGCTGCTGTTGCTTCAGTCTGGGGGAAAGCAATCAAGCCCCGTCTCGAGTAGAGCGGGGTCTGTTTTGCGCTTGTGGATTTTCCGTCCATCACATCTTGCGCGGGGGACTCCCGCACTCCGTCCGGTGCATCGGTCCGACGCACGCTCGAACCCATGGCTTCTGCTGCCTGCTCTTCTTGTGTTTACGAGGAAAGAGGAGCGTCAACTGCCGTTTCGTGTAACCGCTCTGGCTTCATTCTAGGTTGCGCAGCGCATCGCTGAACCGGTCAAAAGTCGTCAAGGGCAGCGCTCTGCAGGTTGATGTTTGCAGCCAGGTGGAGTGGAAGGTTGCTTGTTGCTTTCCAGCGGCCAGAGCCACTTGGCCCAGGTCATGCAGCAGCTCGTGCAATTTGGCACCTTGTCTCAACAGTTGCATGAGGTCTCTCTTGGGAGGGTTGTTTGAACAGGCAGCACCAAGCCCCGGGTCTAGCGTCTAGGCGCACAGTTTGAAGCTTAATCCAGGTACTGAAAGGTAAATAGGGCTTCTGGCGCTGCAACGAATGGGCTTTGCGAATTTTTGGCCCATATGATCACGTGGTGGATTGGGCTTTTCTGGTGGCGGTCAACGGAGACTTCAAAAGCAGATGTTTTTGTTCGTCTCTGGTAGACTATATTCCGCAGAAAATCAATCCCATCTATTGAGTATGAGTCGTGCACCCCCCATTCTTGAGGACCAGAAGCCTTCTGCCGAACACGGGAAAGTAGAAAGGATTGGACCCACCTATATATATATATATACATACATATATATATATATATATCGGAAATACGAGAGGTTCAGCTGCTCATCAGCACATCCTCTGCGAAGTGTTCAAGGCGGCTCGAGATGTTCAAATCTTCCGCATGAAAGGGGGGAGAGTCAGCCACATTCTGAACACGGTGAGACACGGATGCTCTTTTGTGGCTTATGGTTGTGTTGCCATGTGTTGCCATGTATTGCCTGCCTGAGAGGCCAACATCCATGAGCTCCTGATGCACCAGGCGGCTTCTCCCGCGGTCGCGAAGGCATGGACCTAAGTCCTTTTCTGCTAGAGAGCTTTCTCTCTTTTCATTGCGCCTGGACATGTCCCAACAGATGTAGATCAGTCGCCGAGTTTTGTTTCCAGAGCGCTGAAGGGAACAGCTGGGAGCATGTGTAGTTTTTGCCTCCTTGACCAGGCATTGGTCCATGCATCACGAGAAGACCAGGCGGACAAGGAGATAGGCGTTTTGCGATTCGGATACAGGTCCGATAGGAGCGGGACGTTGGGGATGGTCCGGACATGCGGAGTGAGCATGGTGCTGGGGCCTTTGCGGCAGTGTTGACGATTTCCTTAAGCTTGTTGATATCCGAGAGTGCAGCAGGGCCGCCGATAGTCTATGTAGTGGTGTAGCGGGACTTTTGACATGTGGCAGTCTCTATGCAGCGGAAGTAGGAGCTTTCAGCATGCATTTCTCCAGCTTCGGCTGTCATCACAGGTTTTCATCTGAGACAAGCCAAACAGTCAGTGCAACTTCCCAAAAAGCAACAGGACAGTGTATGGAAACCTGACGTGAAGGTGAGCTTGGCACGAGCAGCCATTGGCCAGCGGCTTGCAGATGTGGCAGTCACAAGGCCAGCTGCGTGCAGACACCATGCGAACAAGATGAGAACATTGTCAGGATACCAGTGAAACGGTACTGTGATGCCATTCAAGGTACGGCCACGAGACTGTGCAGCGAGTGCTGCAAGTGCTTGATGGAGAGGAGCCCACGGTGGCATGTCCCGATTATCTGTTTCCTCTTGCGGTTTGCGCATGCTCCTGGACCTTGCAAGCAACATCGAACATCCCTCGTTTGCAAACTCTGAGTGGCCTCAGAAAGAATCCCCCTCAAACTCCAGCGGGCTGGGACTTGCTGTCAAGGATGCCATTAAAACAGGCATCCGCCTTGACAGCCGAGAACGAAGGCACAGAAAGGTACTGGAAGCAGGCTTTTCAAGAAAGCGTAATTAGCCCCAACCGTTTGAAGCCGAGAAGGCTTGTTGGCGTTCAGCCAAGAGCAGGAACTTCCCCTGAGCGCTTGCCAACAGCTGTGAACGGCTTTCGAGGGCCAGCCTGCCGAAGGAAGCGCAATCGTCGGGGATGCCTTTCCAACAGACTAGAGGGGCTTCACAGGGTCATGTATTTGCAGGCAAGTATCTGCCCCATCCGTCCGGAAGGTTTTGCCCACAACTATGAGTGGGTACACGTTCTTGGGGTTACGTTGCACTTAATGCTTGCAGAGGCATTCGGGGAGGGATGGGCACGTGTCTGCGTGTTGCTTGATGCAGCCTGCTTAGCTGTGTACCCTGCGCTTCAAAAGAAAGATTTTGTGCGGCTGCACCAATGACGCACACACGTCGACATGTTCAATGTGTTTCAGACCCCGCCAATTCCACAAACCATCGCACCATTCGCGCAACCCAGGCGCTCTTAGGCTCACTTGCTCAAGTGGCTGAAGCTACCTGAAGCCTTTGACTCCCCTTTGACTCCCCTCAGATCCTTTCAGGACTTCCAGGCCGCATGTGCAGTACTGCGACAACGTGTGGCAACACTTTGGGCAGCTCGCTATGGCCGGCTTGTGGTTTCCCGGCATTTGCAGATTGGCAGTCTTGCCTCCTGCTGCTCCTTGTGTTGCTTTTGTTGTTTGCTTCCTGATTGCTGTTCCTGTCATCTAATGGTTGCTTTCGCTCGCCGACTCATGCGGTTTGACGTATTTATTTACGCATTGCGGTATTGATTTTTTTGCTAGGTTTCCACCATAGCCCTGTGCAACCCAAACCTCGAAGAAAACAAATGGATATGTCGGGCCCCTCGTCCTCCATTTTGCTTGTAAAGGAGGTACCCCCAAAGTCCCCAACTTTTGTTGTAGCCGTATATGAGGGTTGCTCTCAGCCCCCGCCTCTTGACAGCAGCTTACAATGTCCAAAACATTTCCGGATGTAGGCGCAGCCTGAAAACCTTACAACGTAGCGCGCACATGGGCGAAGCGCAGGGGCGAACATACTCAAGTGGCGCGCGCTCTCTGGATTCGGAGCTTTCGGCTTGACAGAGTCGCAAGCCTATAGCGCAAGCCGTGCGCAAGCTATGCGGAAGGTGGTTCCGAGCCACGACAAAATTGGGGCAGCGTTAAAGTGTAGGATTATTGGGTGTAGGCGTAGGTGATGTTGAAGACAAAGATTTCGCTCTGTAGACTTCCATTGTGACGATTTTCTGTACGTTTTTCAATCCGAATATATGCTTAAAACTATGGCCGTGCAAGAGCGCACAAGGGCGAAGTGCAAGAGGGTCTTTAATCAGAACGAAGAAAGAACAAGCCTCATATGCCTCGCATCAGTCCGTTTGCAAATTGGAACTTCTTGTTGCCTTATATGAGCCCCCGGAAACCCCAGCTTCGTAAGAGAAATTCCCTGAAACCTGGCCCGGTACCGCTTGCAGATCGCACTCCCTCAACCCCTTGCTTTGTACCAAGTAGCGTCGTCGGATCATTCTGTTTCAAATGCGCCCCCTCTTTTCAATGAAGCCGTGTGTGCCTTGTAGCATCCTGTACAGGGAGATATCGTCCGTTCTCGTTGTTGGATGCTTCTTGCAATGGGATGGCTGCACCCCAGGTGAAATCTGTACCGGAACTGCACCAACTCTGTGCTGGCATGACCCGCTCCGAGGCAAAGTGCAGAGAGCAATACAGATGGTAGTGCGCGGTCATTTAGGAGATGCGGAGAGTGGACCTTAAGAATCCAACTCCTGACTCTTCTTACCGACGTGCCCTTGGCCCAAATCTGCAGGCATTGGCAAGCGCTTGATATGCTGCATCGACTGGTGGCTTGAGCTCCAGGATCTGCGCACTTGGAATGTATTATCCAGGGGGCAGAGGGTCCTGGAAAAATTCAAAAGAGCTCTCGATGCCGCAGCAAGCGTTATACAGTGTGACGGGAGTCAAAGTTTCAAGCCCGAATTCGATAAAGCCTGGGATGGGTCCCCAGAGGGCCCCAGAGAGAATGTGAACAGAATGTGAACAGAATGTGAGAGGAATGTGAGAGAATGCGAGTGGGGTACGAAGTGTTGGAGCCCTCTGGGGCACCATCCCTCAGGCTGATCTTTGCCAAAGGCCGTAGTTGTCTAGGCTGCGATTTGCAGCGCCTTTGGGCAGATTGCATGCTTTCTCGCACATGTTTGGAGTGAGCCTCCTCCACCCAAGCAAGCTTGAACAGGCCTCTCAGCCCGAGATTGTCGGATGGTACAAATCGGCTGATGCCTTGATTTGGGCCGTTGCTTTCTGGCTTCCGGCTTTGTTGGATGGTACAAGCCCCCAAGCCAACTGTAAAGACGGTAGTGCTCTGCTCCTTTCAATGTGGAAGGCTAACTCGGCCGACAAAATCAGTGTTGTGTTTTGCTGCTGACTGGAACTTGTAAGTTCGATCATGACAATACGATGTCGAATCGTTTGCTTGCAACATGTTGTCTTGAGCGCGAGACCTCCGACCCTTGGAGTGCCGTGGAGAGGTCTTAGACTCGGATGAGGAGCCGGCACGGCCGGCACAGCCGGCACCGCCGGAGGCTGACACCTGACACATCCAATTTTTTCTTTGCGGTTTCGGGCAAGGCTTGCTGACCTGGGCACCCGTCTCCTCACTTTACTTCTAACGAGCCACCTGATGGGTGAAATGTACGCTTCATGTCAGTCCAGTTTGGGAGATTTTTGCGCAGGCTCCCACTGTGCCATCCACACCAACACGCGGCCGCTGCCCCCAGCCCTTGAGGTGTCATGAACTTCGCTTGAAGTGCTTCCAGCAGCCTCAATGACTTACGTACTTGTTCAATGTGGTCCTGGTGTGAAGTTGTCGAATTTACTCTCGTGAGATCCCATTCATGCCGAATCCCAGCAGCCTCCGTCGCTCAATCCGAGGGCGGGAGAAGTTGGCGGCACATGAGGCCGGAACGTGGTGAATATCCCGTAGGAAGATGTCTGGTAATGTTTATTACCTCCTATACTTTTCCAATCATCATTACTCATGACTGTTTAATCTTGCACTTCTGCTTCCGAGTACTTTTGTTCTTTCGTTGCAAGTAACTGCTAGTACATTGCTATATTATTCTGCCTCAGTCCGGGTTCACACTGCTGATGACCTCAAACCGAGGCGTGCTGCATGCGCAGGGGCTGCGGTCCCACGAAACAAAGCAAAAGGAGATGGAAGGAAGAAAGAGAAAGGGTACAATGGGGGAGAACCTGAGGGGGGAGAACATGACCATCAAGAATGCCTGTCTAAAGTGACCATGAGGCTGGACTCGGCTAGATATTCGAGGCTCCATGCGCCAGGGCGGAACCAACGTCCGAGGCTAGAGCAGGAGGGCATATCGAGTTGAGTCCTGGAGTTGCTTGGGCATGCGAAGCCTACCGCGAACCTCGGGGCGTCGCGGGCCGACGCCAAAAGACTCAGATGTTTGAGTCTAAGTGCTTCTGCTTCTGCATGTGCAAGTGCCGACAAGTGCTCGACAGACGTTGACACCGGCAAACGTCGCGTCTCCTCCCGTTCGGAGTGCCGCATGGCTGCAAGTGGTGTGACGTGTTGCGTTCCATGTTTGCATGGTTGTGACGCGGCATGTGCAGAGATATGATATGTTGGACTAATTGTGAAGCCCCAGCTTGCACAGATTCTACAATGTTGCCCACGACTCACCAATCCAATTCCCAAAGCCCTGCTTGACGAGGCCCTCTCCGTCTTTGGCGGTCGTCGGCCCGTGCAGGCGAATGCTGGTCAAGCCAGTCCCACAACGCTTTAACATCACTTCAAGTCTTTTATCTGTCGTAGCGGTCCTCTGCCAGACTCAAGACACCAGCATGAGGCATGCGGCCAAAGTCCCACAGTGGCCAAGGAAACGCTCGAGGTGCCAAGTCTTGGAGGAGTCGTTTTGGCAGTAAATGCCTTCAAGAAGTGTGCCATTCCATCTTCATTCATCTTTATTGCTGACGTTCTCAACTGTTCCTGCATATCTCAGTTTTATCCATTGCTTCGGTGCCGAATGGGAGGCTTTTGTGAGTCATGTCGAGTCAAGAAGCGACACAGAAATGCGCCAGGCCTTGAAGGCGTCGCAGGCGAAGTTCCAAGCCGAGGCGGCGGCCGGCTTCGCACAGGTAAGTCCTTGTACCTTGTTTTAACCATCGTTTTGCTGCTCCATTCGTGGCATCGATATGTGTGAGTCGAGTCTCTGTGTGTGTGTGTGTGTGTGTGTGCGCGTGTTGGTTTTGGGTGGGAGGAAGTGATTCCCCCGGAAGGGGTGCCCCAGCTTAGCTTGATCGTAAGGCTCCCCCGATCACTTCACCTCTCCGGCAAAAACTGCTCATGTGCGCTTGTCTCCTGCAATCCACAGCCCTCAGTGAAGGCAACGAGGCTGAGGCAGGTGCACGTGCTGGAGCCGCAAGACTTGAGCTTATCAGCAGACCACTCGCTCAACTCGTTCCAACTGAGGAAGCGCGACGCCGCACGCGTACGGGCAATCCGGGTTTGTTGGCTTTTGTGCTCGGCCGAAAGCCGTGGTTTCAAGGCCAGTGGCAAAGAGCGAGCACTTTTCGCGGAGTCGGGCTAACGAGAAACGGGACAGTGTTAGCCCAAGATGCTGCTGCGTCATGGGGGTGGTCAACTCAGACCAGCTTAAAACCATTGGCTCAGTGGCATCATTCTACTTTTCAGCTAGCAGTTCTATATTCTGCGTGGCTTCGATCTCAGCTTGAACTGGCTTGATAATGCAGACCTCCCAGCAACATCAGCTCACAGGAGAAGGCACAGGAGAAAGAAGAGCGCTGGAAGGCGCTGTTGGAGGCCCGGAGCATAAGCTTTGTAGGGCAGGCTTGGTGTTTGTGCAGCGGTTGAATGTGTCACCCTGGCCCCATTACGTGGGCTGTAGTAGATGTTGGTAGTCTTGCCCCCAGGAAAAAGAGAGCCAGCACCAGAGGAGTCTGGCAGAAGCTAAACGAGCACACCAGGACGACGAGATCAGTGCCGGTCATGATGCATGCTCTGAGAATCTTGATGTTGAACATCCATGGTGATTGCTGTTAAAGCCGGGCAGCGCCAGACCCTGGCAACAAGGGTCTGTGGACTGGATCCGCTTTCTGTTTTCACAGGACCTGGAAGCGACTTCCAAGCAGCAGCGTCGGGCGATGGAGGACTGGATCTTACAGTTGGGTGGACGGGCGTTAAGTGTTCATGCATGCTGCGTAGTGACAGGAGAAGGAAGATCACTGGAAGAAGCTGCTGCAGGCCTCAAGCGCTTGGGAAGAGGGCAGGCGTTGAACGCTCCACGACACCTTTGCAGCCAGGAGAGAGAGCACCAGCACCAGAACAGCCTGGCGGAAGCTCGACAAGCACTCGAGGACAAGCGACTTGAGGGTGGAGGGTGCATGTGCCAGATGGCATGCGGTTATATTCGGTTCTATTGGGGGTGCTCTGAGTGCTCTTCGACTTGGCTGCCTCGTCCGAGTAGCACCAAAGCCCGGCAACGGGCCCGGCAGGACAGCGAGAATGCCGGCGAACGCAAGCTCGCCGATCATCAGCGCCGCTTGAAGGACACTCTAGATTCTAGCTGACTCATAGCTGTAGCTTCCGGCAGCTTTGGCATTTGCCGCAGGGAATCGAGGCTGATCGAGTGCCGTTTGCAGCTCAGGAGCTGGAGAAGCAGCGCGACGAAGCCAACAGCAAGCTAGAGGCCATGCAGCCAGTTGAACGATTGAACTTGTGCACACCTGGCCGCCGGCAGGAAATGGAGAGCACGAGCGACTTGTCAAAGCGCCAGCTGGAGGACCTTGCCGGTTTCTTTGCTGCACCTGCGGGACGGGCGTTAAGTTTTCATGCATGCTGCGTACGGCGTGACAGGAGAAGGAAGATCACTGGAAGAAGCTGCTGCAGGCCTCCAGGGCTCGCGCGCTTGCGGGGGGGCGGGATGGGGTGAAGGGTTTGTTCTCCACGACACCTTTGCAGCCAGGAGAGAGAGCACCAGCACCAGAACAGCCTGGCGGAAGCTCGACAAGCACTCGAGGACAAGCGACTTGAGGGTGGAGGGTGCATGTGCCAGATGGCATGCGGTTATATTCGGTTCTATTGAGGGTGCTCTGAGTGCTCTTCGACTTGGCTGCCTCGTGCGAGTAGCACCAAAGCCCGGCAACGGGCCCGGCAGGACAGCGAGAATGCCGGCGATCGCAAGCTCGCCGATCATCAGCGCCGGTTGAAGGACACTCTAGATTCTAGCTGACTCATAGCTGTAGCTTCCGGCAGCTTTGGCATTTGCCGCAGGGAATCGAGGCTGATCGAGTGCCGTTTGCAGCTCAGGAGAAGCAGCGTGACGAAGCCAACAGCAAGCTAGAGGCCATGCAGCCAGTTGAACGATTGAACTTGTGCACACCTGGCCGCCGGCAGGAAATGGAGAGCACGAGCGACTTGTCAAAGCGCGAGTTGGAGGACCTTGCCGGTTTCTTTGCTGTACCTGCGGGACGGGCGTTAAGTTTTCATGCATGCTGCGTACGGCGTGACAGGAGAAGGAAGATCACTGGAAGAAGCTGCTGCAGGCCTCCAGCGCTTGCGCGCTTGCGGGGGGGCGGGATGGGGTGAAGGGTTTGTTCTCCACGACACCTTTGCAGCCAGGAGAGAGAGCACCAGCACCAGAACAGCCTGGCGGAAGCTCGACAAGCACTCGAGGACAAGCGACTTGAGGGTGGAGGGTGTATGTGCCAGATGGCATGCGGTTATATTCGGTTCTATTGGGGGTGCTCTGAGTGCTCTTCGACTTGGCTGCCTCGTCCGAGTAGCACCAAAGCCCGGCAACGGGCCCGGCAGGACAGCGAGAATGCCGGCGAACGCAAGCTCGCAGATCATCAGCGAAGGTTAAAGGACACTCTAGATTCTAGCTGACTCATAGCTGTAGCTTCCGGCAGCTTTGGCATTTGCCGCAGGGAATCGAGGCTGATCGAGTGCCGTTTGCAGTTCAGGAGCTGGAGAAGCAGCGCGACGAAGCCAACAGCAAGCTAGAGGCCATGCAGCCAGTTGAACGATTGAACTTGTGCACACCTGGCCGCCGGCAGGAAATGGAGAGCACGAGCGACTTGTCAAAGCGCCAGCTGGAGGACCTTGCCGGTGTCTGGATCTGACTTGACACGCTCGCGCCTGAAGCGAGTAGGGTATGCAAAGATAAGTGATGCATCGCCTCTGGCAGGAAAAAAGGGACCAACACCAAAGAGAGGCGCAAGACCTTGCTCGTGACCTGAAGGACACGCCCATTGCTGCACCTGCTGGACGGGCGTTAAGTTTTCATGCATGCTGCGTACGGCGTGACAGGAGAAGGAAGATCACTGGAAGAAGCTGCTGCAGGCCTCCAGCGCTTGCGCGCTTGCGGGGGGGCGGGATGGGTGAAGGGTTTGTTCTCCACGACACCTTTGCAGCCAGGAGAGAGAGCACCAGCACCAGAACAGCCTGGCGGAAGCTCGACAAGCACTCGAGGACAAGCGACTTGAGGGTGGAGGGTGCATGTGCCAGATGGCATGCGGTTATATTCGGTTCGTTGAGGTGCTCTGAGTGCTCTTCGACTTGGCTGCCTCGTCCGAGTAGCACCAAAGCCCGGCAACGGCCCGGCAGGACAGCGAGCATGCCGGCGAACGCAAGCTCGCCGATCATCAGCGCCGGTTAAAGGACACTCCAGATTCTAGCTGACTCTAGCTGTAGCTTCCGGAAGCTTTGGCATTTGCCGCAGGGAATCGAGGCTGATCGAGTGCCGTTTGCAGTTCAGGAGCTGGAGAAGCAGCGCGACGAAGCCAACAGCAAGCTAGAGGCCATGCAGCCAGTTGAACGATTGAACTTGTGCACACCTGGCCGCCGGCAGGAAATGGAGAGCACGAGCGACTTGTCAAAGCGCCAGCTGGAGGACCTTGCCGGTGTCTGGATCTGACTTGACACGCTCGCGCCTGAGGCGAGTAGGGTATGCAAAGATAGGTGATGCATCGCCTCTGGCAGGAAAAGAGGGACCAACACCAAAGAGAGGCGCAAGACCTTGCTCGTGACCTGAAGGACACGCCCATTGCTGCACCTGCTGGACGGGCGTTAAGTTTTCATGCATGCTGCGTACGGCGTGACAGGAGAAGGAAGATCACTGGAAGAAGCTGCTGCAGGCCTCCAGCGCTTGCGCGCTTGCAGGGGGGCGGGATGGGGTGAAGGGTTTGTTCTCCACGACACCTTTGCAGCCAGGAGAGAGAGCACCAGCACCAGAACAGCCTGGCGGAAGCTCGACAAGCACTCGAGGACAAGCGACTTGAGGGTGGTGGAGGGTGCATGTGCCAGATGGCATTCGGTTATATTCGGTTCGTTGAGGGTGCTCTGAGTGCTCTTCGACTTGGCTGCCTCGTCCGAGTAGCGGCAACGGGCCCGGCAGGACAGCGAGAATGCCGGCGAACGCAAGCTCGCTGATCATCAGCGCCGGTTAAAGGACACTCTAGATTCTAGCTGACTCATAGCTGTAGCTTCCGGCAGCTGTGGCATTTGCCGCAGGGAATCGAGGCTGATCGAGTGCCGTTTGCAGTTCAGGAGCTGGAGAAGCAGCGCGACGAAGCCAACAGCAAGCTAGAGGCCATGCAGCCAGTTGAACGATTGAACTTGTGCACACCTGGCCGCCGGCAGGAAATGGAGAGCACGAGCGACTTGTCAAAGAGCGAGTTGGAGGACCTTGCCGGTTTCTTTGCTGTACCTGCGGGACGGGCGTTAAGTTTTCATGCATGCTGCGTACGGCGTGACAGGAGAAGGAAGATCACTGGAAGAAGCTGCTGCAGGCCTCCAGCGCTTGCGCGCTTGCGGGGGGGCGGGATGGGGTGAAGGGTTTGTTCTCCACGACACCTTTGCAGCCAGGAGAGAGAGCACCAGCACCAGAACAGCCTGGCGGAAGCTCGACAAGCACTCGAGGACAAGCGACTTGAGGGTGGAGGGTGTATGTGCCAGATGGCATGCGGTTATATTCGGTTCTATTGGGGGTGCTCTGAGTGCTCTTCGACTTGGCTGCCTCGTCCGAGTAGCACCAAAGCCCGGCAACGGGCCCGGCAGGACAGCGAGAATGCCGGCGAACGCAAGCTCGCAGATCATCAGCGAAGGTTAAAGGACACTCTAGATTCTAGCTGACTCATAGCTGTAGCTTCCGGCAGCTTTGGCATTTGCCGCAGGGAATCGAGGCTGATCGAGTGCCGTTTGCAGCTCAGGAGCTGGAGAAGCAGCGCGACGAAGCCAACAGCAAGCTAGAGGCCATGCAGCCAGTTGAACGATTGAACTTGTGCACACCTGGCCGCCGGCAGGAAATGGAGAGCACGAGCGACTTGTCAAAGCGCGAGTTGGAGGACCTTGCCGGTTTCTTTGCTGTACCTGCGGGACGGGCGTTAAGTTTTCATGCATGCTGCGTACGGCGTGACAGGAGAAGGAAGATCACTGGAAGAAGCTGCTGCAGGCCTCCAGCGCTTGCGCGCTTGCGGGGGGGCGGGATGGGGTGAAGGGTTTGTTCTCCACGACACCTTTGCAGCCAGGAGAGAGAGCACCAGCACCAGAACAGCCTGGCGGAAGCTCGACAAGCACTCGAGGACAAGCGACTTGAGGGTGGAGGGTGTATGTGCCAGATGGCATGCGGTTATATTCGGTTCTATTGGGGGTGCTCTGAGTGCTCTTCGACTTGGCTGCCTCGTCCGAGTAGCACCAAAGCCCGGCAACGGGCCCGGCAGGACAGCGAGAATGCCGGCGAACGCAAGCTCGCAGATCATCAGCGAAGGTTAAAGGACACTCTAGATTCTAGCTGACTCATAGCTGTAGCTTCCGGCAGCTTTGGCATTTGCCGCAGGGAATCGAGGCTGATCGAGTGCCGTTTGCAGCTCAGGAGCTGGAGAAGCAGCGCGACGAAGCCAACAGCAAGCTAGAGGCCATGCAGCCAGTTGAACGGTTGAACTTGTGCACACCTGGCCGCCGGCAGGAAATGGAGAGCACGAGCGACTTGTCAAAGCGCAAGTTGGAGGACCTTGCCGGTTTCTTTGCTGTACCTGCGGGACGGGCGTTAAGTTTTCATGCATGCTGCGTACGGCGTGACAGGAGAAGGAAGATCACTGGAAGAAGCTGCTGCAGGCCTCCAGCGCTTGCGCGCTTGCGGGGGGGCGGGATGGGGTGAAGGGTTTGTTCTCCACGACACCTTTGCAGCCAGGAGAGAGAGCACCAGCACCAGAACAGCCTGGCGGAAGCTCGACAAGCACTCGAGGACAAGCGACTTGAGGGTGGAGGGTGCATGTGCCAGATGGCATGCGGTTATATTCGGTTCTATTGGGGGTGCTCTGAGTGCTCTTCGACTTGGCTGCCTCGTCCGAGTAGCACCAAAGCCCGGCAACGGGCCCGGCAGGACAGCGAGAATGCCGGCGAACGCAAGCTCGCAGATCATCAGCGAAGGTTAAAGGACACTCTAGATTCTAGCTGACTCATAGCTGTAGCTTCCGGCAGCTTTGGCATTTGCCGCAGGGAATCGAGGCTGATCGAGTGCCGTTTGCAGTTCAGGAGCTGGAGAAGCAGCGCGACGAAGCCAACAGCAAGCTAGAGGCCATGCAGCCAGTTGAACGATTGAACTTGTGCACACCTGGCCGCCGGCAGGAAATGGAGAGCACGAGCGACTTGTCAAAGCGCCAGCTGGAGGACCTTGCCGGTGTCTGGATCTGACTTGACACGCTCGCGCCTGAGGCGAGTAGGGTATGCAAAGATAGGTGATGCATCGCCTCTGGCAGGAAAAGAGGGACCAACACCAAAGAGAGGCGCAAGACCTTGCTCGTGACCTGAAGGACACGCCCATTGCTGCACCTGCTGGACGGGCGTTAAGTTTTCATGCATGCTGCGTACGGCGTGACAGGAGAAGGAAGATCACTGGAAGAAGCTGCTGCAGGCCTCCAGCGCTTGCGCGCTTGCGGGGGGGCGGGATGGGTGAAGGGTTTGTTCTCCACGACACCTTTGCAGCCAGGAGAGAGAGCACCAGCACCAGAACAGCCTGGCGGAAGCTCGACAAGCACTCGAGGACAAGCGACTTGAGGGTGGTGGAGGGTGCATGTGCCAGATGGCATTCGGTTATATTCGGTTCGTTGAGGGTGCTCTGAGTGCTCTTCGACTTGGCTGCCTCGTCCGAGTAGCACCAAAGCCCGGCAACGGCCCGGCAGGACAGCGAGCATGCCGGCGAACGCAAGCTCGCCGATCATCAGCGCCGGTTAAAGGACACTCCAGATTCTAGCTGACTCATAGCTGTAGCTTCCGGCAGCTTTGGCATTTGCCGCAGGGAATCGAGGCTGATCGAGTGCCGTTTGCAGTTCAGGAGCTGGAGAAGCAGCGCGACGAAGCCAACAGCAAGCTAGAGGCCATGCAGCCAGTTGAACGATTGAACTTGTGCACACCTGGCCGCCGGCAGGAAATGGAGAGCACGAGCGACTTGTCAAAGCGCCAGCTGGAGGACCTTGCCGGTGTCTGGATCTGACTTGACACGCTCGCGCCTGAGGCGAGTAGGGTATGCAAAGATAGGTGATGCATCGCCTCTGGCAGGAAAAGAGGGACCAACACCAAAGAGAGGCGCAAGACCTTGCTCGTGACCTGAAGGTTAAGTTTTCATGCATGCTGCGTACGGCGTGACAGGAGAAGGAAGATCACTGGAAGAAGCTGCTGCAGGCCTCCAGCGCTTGCGCGCTTGCGGGGGGGGCGGGATGGGGTGAAGGGTTTGTTCTCCACGACGGAGGGTGCATGTGCCAGATGGCATTCGGTTCTATTCGGTTCGTTGAGGGTGCTCTGAGTGCTCTTCGACTTGGCTGCCTCGTCCGAGTAGCACCAAAGCCCGGCAACGGCCCGGCAGGACAGCGAGCATGCCGGCGAACGCAAGCTCGCCGATCATCAGCGCCGGTTACAGGACACTCTAGATTCTAGCTGACTCTAGCTGTAGCTTCCGGCAGCTTTCGGCATTTGCCGCAGGGAATCGAGGCTGATCGAGTGCCGTTTGCAGTTCAGGAGCTGGAGAAGCAGCGCGACGAAGCCAACAGCAAGCTAGAGGCCATGCAGCCAGTTGAACGATTGAACTTGTGCACACCTGGCCGCCGGCAGGAAATGGAGAGCACGAGCGACTTGTCAAAGCGCCAGCTGGAGGACCTTGCCGGTGTCTGGATCTGACTTGACACGCTCGCGCCTGAGGCGAGTAGGGTATGCAATGATAGGTGATGCATCGCCTCTGGCAGGAAAAGAGGGACCAACGCCAAAGAGAGGCGCAAGACCTTGCTCGTGACCTGAAGGACTCGCCCATTGCTGCACCTGCTGGACGGGCGTTAAGTTTTCATGCATGCTGCGTACGGCGTGACAGGAGAAGGAAGATCACTGGCAGAAGCTGCTGCAGGCCTCCAGCGCTTGCGCGCTTGCGGGGGGGCGGGATGGGGTGAAGGGTTTGTTCTCCACGACACCTTTGCAGCCAGGAGAGAGAGCACCAGCACCAGAACAGCCTGGCGGAAGCTCGACAAGCACTCGAGGACAAGCGACTTGAGGGTGGTGGAGGGTGCATGTGCCAGATGGCATTCGGTTATATTCGGTTCGTTGAGGGTGCTCTGAGTGCTCTTCGACTTGGCTGCCTCGTCCGAGTAGCACCAAAGCCCGGCAACGGGCCCGGCAGGACAGCGAGCATGCCGGCGAACGCAAGCTCGCTGATCATCAGCGCCGGTTAAAGGACACTCTAGATTCTAGCTGACTCATAGCTGTAGCTTCCGGCAGCTGTGGCATTTGCCGCAGGGAATCGAGGCTGATCGAGTGCCGTTTGCAGTTCAGGAGCTGGAGAAGCAGCGCGACGAAGCCAACAGCAAGCTAGAGGCCATGCAGCCAGTTGAACGATTGAACTTGTGCACACCTGGCCGCCGGCAGGAAATGGAGAGCACGAGCGACTTGTCAAAGAGCGAGTTGGAGGACCTTGCCGGTTTCTTTGCTGTACCTGCGGGACGGGCGTTAAGTTTTCATGCATGCTGCGTACGGCGTGACAGGAGAAGGAAGATCACTGGAAGAAGCTGCTGCAGGCCTCCAGCGCTTGCGCGCTTGCGGGGGGGCGGGATGGGGTGAAGGGTTTGTTCTCCACGACACCTTTGCAGCCAGGAGAGAGAGCACCAGCACCAGAACAGCCTGGCGGAAGCTCGACAAGCACTCGAGGACAAGCGACTTGAGGGTGGAGGGTGTATGTGCCAGATGGCATGCGGTTATATTCGGTTCTATTGGGGGTGCTCTGAGTGCTCTTCGACTTGGCTGCCTCGTCCGAGTAGCACCAAAGCCCGGCAACGGGCCCGGCAGGACAGCGAGAATGCCGGCGAACGCAAGCTCGCAGATCATCAGCGAAGGTTAAAGGACACTCTAGATTCTAGCTGACTCATAGCTGTAGCTTCCGGCAGCTTTGGCATTTGCCGCAGGGAATCGAGGCTGATCGAGTGCCGTTTGCAGTTCAGGAGCTGGAGAAGCAGCGCGACGAAGCCAACAGCAAGCTAGAGGCCATGCAGCCAGTTGAACGATTGAACTTGTGCACACCTGGCCGCCGGCAGGAAATGGAGAGCACGAGCGACTTGTCAAAGCGCGAGTTGGAGGACCTTGCCGGTTTCTTTGCTGTACCTGCGGGACGGGCGTTAAGTTTTCATGCATGCTGCGTACGGCGTGACAGGAGAAGGAAGATCACTGGAAGAAGCTGCTGCAGGCCTCCAGCGCTTGCGCGCTTGCGGGGGGGCGGGATGGGGTGAAGGGTTTGTTCTCCACGACACCTTTGCAGCCAGGAGAGAGAGCACCAGCACCAGAACAGCCTGGCGGAAGCTCGACAAGCACTCGAGGACAAGCGACTTGAGGGTGGAGGGTGTATGTGCCAGATGGCATGCGGTTATATTCGGTTCTATTGGGGGTGCTCTGAGTGCTCTTCGACTTGGCTGCCTCGTCCGAGTAGCACCAAAGCCCGGCAACGGGCCCGGCAGGACAGCGAGAATGCCGGCGAACGCAAGCTCGCAGATCATCAGCGAAGGTTAAAGGACACTCTAGATTCTAGCTGACTCATAGCTGTAGCTTCCGGCAGCTTTGGCATTTGCCGCAGGGAATCGAGGCTGATCGAGTGCTGTTTGCAGCTCAGGAGCTGGAGAAGCAGCGCGACGAAGCCAACAGCAAGCTAGAGGCCATGCAGCCAGTTGAACGATTGAACTTGTGCACACCTGGCCGCCGGCAGGAAATGGAGAGCACGAGCGACTTGTCAAAGCGCGAGTTGGAGGACCTTGCCGGTTTCTTTGCTGTACCTGCGGGACGGGCGTTAAGTTTTCATGCATGCTGCGTACGGCGTGACAGGAGAAGGAAGATCACTGGAAGAAGCTGCTGCAGGCCTCCAGCGCTTGCGCGCTTGCGGGGGGGCGGGATGGGGTGAAGGGAAGGGTTTGTTCTCCACGACACCTTTGCAGCCAGGAGAGAGAGTACCAGCACCAGAACAGCCTGGCGGGAGCTCGACAAGCACTCGAGGACAAGCGACTTGAGACTTGAGGGTGGTGGAGGGTGCATGTGCCAGATGGCATTCGGTTATATTCGGTTCGTTGAGGGTGCTCCGAGTGCTCTTCGACTTGGCTGCCTCGTCCGAGTAGCACCAAAGCCCGGCAACGGGCCCGGCAGGACAGCGAGCATGCCGGCGAACGCAAGCTCGCCGATCATCAGCGCCGGTTAAAGGACACTCTAGATTCTAGCTGACTCTAGCTGTAGCTTCCGGCAGCTTTGGCATTTGCCGCAGGGAATCGAGGCTGATCGAGTGCCGTTTGCAGTTCAGGAGCTGGAGAAGCAGCGCGACGAAGCCAACAGCAAGCTAGAGGCCATGCAGCCAGTTGAACGATTGAACTTGTGCACACCTGGCCGCCGGCAGGAAATGGAAAGCACGAGCGACTTGTCAAAGCGCGAGTTGGAGGACCTTGCCGGTTTCTTTGCTGTACCTGCGGGACGGGCGTTAAGTTTTCATGCATGCTGCGTACGGCGTGACAGGAGAAGGAAGATCACTGGAAGAAGCTGCTGCAGGCCTCCAGCGCTTGCGCGCTTGCGGGGGGGCGGGATGGGGTGAAGGGTTTGTTCTCCACGACACCTTTGCAGCCAGGAGAGAGAGCACCAGCACCAGAACAGCCTGGCGGAAGCTCGACAAGCACTCGAGGACAAGCGACTTGAGGGTGGAGGGTGCATGTGCCAGATGGCATGCGGTTATATTCGGTTCTATTGGGGGTGCTCTGAGTGCTCTTCGACTTGGCTGCCTCGTCCGAGTAGCACCAAAGCCCGGCAACGGGCCCGGCAGGACAGCGAGCATGCCGGCGAACGCAAGCTCGCCGATCATCAGCGCCGGTTAAAGGACACTCTAGATTCTAGCTGACTCATAGCTGTAGCTTCCGGCAGCTTTGGCATTTGCCGCAGGGAATCGAGGCTGATCGAGTGCTGTTTGCAGCTCAGGAGCTGGAGAAGCAGCGCGACGAAGCCAACAGCAAGCTAGAGGCCATGCAGCCAGTTGAACGATTGAACTTGTGCACACCTGGCTGCCGGCAGGAAATGGAGAGCACGAGCGACTTGTCAAAGCGCGAGTTGGAGGACCTTGCCGGTTTCTTTGCTGTACCTGCGGGACGGGCGTTAAGTTTTCATGCATGCTGCGTACGGCGTGACAGGAGAAGGAAGATCACTGGAAGAAGCTGCTGCAGGCCTCTAGCGCTTGCGCGCTTGCGGGGGGGCGGGATGGGGTGAAGGGTTTGTTCTCCACGACACCTTTGCAGCCAGGAGAGAGAGCACCAGCACCAGAACAGCCTGGCGGAAGCTCGAAAAGCACTCGAGGACAAGCGACTTGAGCGTGGAGGGTGCATGTGCCAGATGGCATGCGGTTATATTCGGTTCTATTGGGGGTGCTCTGAGTGCTCTTCGACTTGGCTGCCTCGTCCGAGTAGCACCAAAGCCCGGCAACGGGCCCGGCAGGACAGCGAGAATGCCGGCGAACGCAAGCTCGCAGATCATCAGCGAAGGTTAAAGGACACTCTAGATTCTAGCTGACTCATAGCTGTAGCTTCCGGCAGCTTTGGCATTTGCCGCAGGGAATCGAGGCTGATCGAGTGCCGTTTGCAGCTCAGGAGCTGGAGAAGCAGCGCGACGAAGCCAACAGCAAGCTAGAGGCCATGCAGCCAGTTGAACGATTGAACTTGTGCACGGCGTTCACATGAGCAGGATCTCATTTCTTGCCTTTCCTGTGCCTTTCGGGGGCCGGCAGGAAATGGAGAGCGCGAGCGACATGTCAAAGCACGTGCTGGAGGACCATGCCGGTTTCCAGATCTGAGTTGGCATGGCGCACTCTCGCCTGAGACGAGTCAGGGTATGTGAAACTAGGTGATGGTAGGTGTGGGACGAGCCGGTGCGCTCGCCGCCCATGCGTAGCATCTGGCAGGAGAAGCAGCATCAACACCAAACAGAGGCGGAAGATCTCGCCCGTGAGTTGGAGGACATGCTGTTTCGTGCACCAATTTTTCAATTTCTCAGCGTTCTCGATGTAGCAAGGGTTCTCTCCACTTTCGGCAGGAGGTGAAAGCAGAAATGCAGGAGTGGATTCAGTGCATGTCAGTGCTTGGTGGTGTTGTTGTGCTTTACCCGTTCTCAGTTGTACGGATTTGCTTTGAGACTTGAAGGCACATGCTGCGTATGTTCTGACAGGAGAAGGAAAATCACTGGAAGAAGCTGTTGGAGGCCTGAGGGGGCAGGGGTGGGTGAGTGCGCAAGAGGGCAAGCTTAATTGTTGAACGTGTTGGCATCCCGACAAGCTCTTGAGGACGACAACTCTAGGGTGGTGGCATGCGTGGCATTGGGTTCCTTGAGGGTGCTTTGCGAGCAGGCTGCCTGTCAACCCGAGTTCGCCAAAGCCTGGCAACTGAACTGGCAGGACAGCGAGCATGCGGGCGAACTCAAGCTCGCAGATCACCAGCGCCAGTTTAGCTGACTCTAGCTGTAGCTTCCGGCAGCTCTTGCATATGCCGCAGGGAATCGAGGCTGATCGAGTGCCGTTTGCAGCTCAGGAGCTGGAGAAGCAGCGTGACGAAGCCACCCGCAAGCTGCAGGACATGCAGCCAGTTGAACGTTGAACTTGTGCACGGCGCTCACATGAGCAGGATCTCATTTCGTGCCTTTCCTGTGCCTTTCGGGGGCCGGCAGGAAATGGAGAGCGCGAGCGACTTGCCAAAGCGCGAGCTGGAGGACCATGCCGGTTTCGGTCGCATGGCGCACTCTCGCCTGAGACAAAAGCCCCGTTTTGGCACGTGAGGGTATGTGAGGGTAAGTAAGGTCGTGAGCAGAAAAGACCTCCATGTGGTGTCATTCCTTGACCAAGACCTGTCTCATGTTTGCAGCATGATCCATTTTGCTAGGGTTTATGCCGCTTCAGTATGAGATGAAAGATCAAATGGAGGAGGGCACTGAGACGCTTGTAGACACTTGCTTCTCGTTGTCGTCCGTATATACTCCTATACCTGCCACCTTCTCTCATGGTCACCGAGCAAGTTTTTGCTGCATCAAGTCTTGCCACCAGGAAATCGAGAAAGGGCACCAGAAGAGCCTTGTGGAAGCTCGACAAGCTCACCAGGACGATGACTTGAGGGTGGAGGGCGCACGCACTTCGAGAATCTTGGCATTTGGTTGAGGGTGCTTTGATCTCCGTCAGGACTACTGTTGCTTCCGACACCCTTATGTTGTGATCTTCTTTGTAGGGCACCAGGATGCACCAGGCACATTATAGCACGGGCCCAACATGGACCAGGTTCAAGATGTTTCAGGGATTACCTGCAGCGCAGAGGGGGCCAACGGGCCAATACAACGTGGGCAGCGATGTGGCCTGCGATGTGGCCTCTTTGAAAAGGCCATGTGGTACGAGATTGCCAGGAGATGCAAAAGGAGAAGGGCACGGAAAGCAATGCAAGCTGCAGGCCGAAGGCCAGTTTGCATGCTGGCACTGCTTTGTTTTCTCTGTTGTGCGCCAGCAGCCAGTCATCCAGTGTCCTGATGATTACTGATGATGGACGGTCCTCCCTGACTCATAGTAGACGACGCAGAGAGCACGCGCAGTGTCCATGCCAAGCCTGAAAAACGTCTAGAGCACGCGCATGGCTCGTACAGGCTCATATGGAGTCCTTGGCCATAGCCTTAATCTTAAGGATGTGATCATGAGCTAGACGCAGTTGCTCATGAAAGTCACTATCGGTAACGAGCTGCATACCGAACCTTCAGCTTAGAAACTTCTCAGAGCTTAGATGCCCCTCTTGTCCCATGTCCCATGGTTTCCAACGACTCCCTGGAGCGGGCGGAGCGGCGGCTCTCGGTGCCTGCAGTGCTTGGCCGCCGCTTGAGAGCATCGAACAATATCTTGAAAAATGCACAAAGTGGAGCAGTTGTCAGGCTCAGTCGTCAGGGCAAGAAGGTGAAAGGGGTTCGGGAACCCACCCGGAACCTGCCCCCCCCCTCGTTGACGATTCTTGTCCAAGGCTTTCATCGGCCGCCCCGCACACTGCAGGCTCCTGTCTCTCGGGGTCGAAAGTTGGGAAGGAGTTCTTGGTCTCGCCGGAGAGCATGTGTTGCATGTATGTCTGATAAGAGTCCTGGTGCCTACGATTCTGCAGTACCTGCCAAGCTCGGGCTGAGCAAGACATATCTGTCTGCATAAGTTCTGCGACACGAGCTGTTGCAAAGTTGGCTTCGTGAATTCAAGATGCCCTTTGGCCTTTCAAGCGAAGACAGGAAGCCTGCTTGGTACACATGGGTCCCTTCAGTAATTGACCAACCCATGCAGCTGTGTCGGGGGTTCAGGACGACTACAACCTTGGTGACAAGGTTGGCCTCCTGGATGGGGAAATCTGCCAACAAATTGGAATTAAGAATGCCGTGCTGTAGGAGTGACCTTAGAAGCCACGGCGCATTGTCAGTCCATTAGTGTTCTCCTGCACGAGGTCGTGCCTCCACAGTGCGTGGCAGTCGTCAGTCTTGCTGCCCGATGCAGGTCCTTGGTAGTGGGTGCAGCGGCCAGGTGCTGCAGGCAAGCTGACATTTCTTTTTTCAAGTGCTTCATGGAACTTCGCCTTTTTCCGCACCACTTGTTGCGCTCGCTGCGCTTGATGCGCTCGCTGCGCCTGCCAGGCGGTGAGCCGCACCACTGGGCAATCCGTGGCGGTGAAGACCTTAAGCCTCGTGGGCATCACTGAAAAGGCACGGAAATTCCGCATCAAGAAAGATCTTGGCCTGCTTTGCACCACAGAGCTTACCAATTCTTTGGCGCGAAGGCACGTCGCGAGCTCGAGAATGAAGTTGTGCCTTAGATTCATCAGTCTCACTGACCCATTGTGCTTAGTATTGCACGGTTAGTCGTTTATGGGCACTCTTTTGTGTTGGCAAGGCCCTAGAACTCCAGCAGCACGTTCGAAACGAAAGCGCCGCTGCACGAAGGAGCTGTTCCTGAGCATGGATCATCCCAGAGTTGCCCGGCTGCTGGATGTGTACCAGGCAGGGTGGGCATTCGCAATCTGGGGGCCGGGGATTCGACGCGACGGCTCTTATTCACTTACACCCGGAAGGCCGAAGGTCGAATGAGTTTGGTGATGGAGTGCATGGAAGGCAGAGCGGAGATGCAGGGGAGCTGCCGGGAGTGTGGGCAACCCATGGCAAGCTTCTCACACCCACTTTGCACCCTGAAGGCGGCGAACTTTTTAGCCGAGTCATGGATGTGGAGGCCATGTCAATACCGAGCCTTGTGTGACTGTCTTGTAACTCCTTCACTACGCAAGTTGAACAACTAGTACTCGAAGTCTGAGATGAAGCGCTTAAAGAGTTGAAATGGAGAGAGCACCTCCATAGCTGGGAGCACATCAGGTCTTCCCGGAACGGGAGGCTGCACATACCGCTTGGCAGATGTTGCTGGCGCTGCCTCTTGGCGGCATTGCTGGGTACCTCATGTGGCGCAGAGCGAAAAGGCAATCTTCCTTTGGGTGTCTACCGACTTATGGGAGGGTTAGGATTCGGTCGATGTGATGTGAAGGCCCCATGCTGAGAGGGTCAGCACAAGCTGGATGAAGCGCATTTCCACTTCTTCGGTGGAGTTCTTCCAGCCCGAAATGGCAGGCATATGCGATCAGCTGGTTCTGATTCTGTGAAATTGAATCGTCTGGCTGGGTGTAGCTGCTGTGGGCCCCGGGGCCCCGCCCGGTAGACAGAACAAAAATGAGGAAAACTTATCCCCCAGCCCCAACCCTTCTCGCTACTACTCTCACCTGTGCTTTCCGCGATCGGTTTTTCGCGCACGCTCTCGTTGCGCTTGTCCAGGCGTCTCAGTCGTCGAAGCAAGATACACCTCCTTGTGCATTCCTTGTGCATGCTGGACCTACGAGCCCACTGAGACCGCGGCAAAGTCGGGAGGCTTGGCTCTCGGCCCGAATGACCGTCAACTGCTCGGCAAATTTTCAGGCATGCGCACACAGGTTGACATCGTGCATCCGTCGAGTCGGCGGCAAAGAGAAGGCCGCTGAAAAGTCAACAAGTGATAACGAAGTTTCGACGCGGGCGAAGTCCTGGCCCGCACCTCTAGAGGGCTCCATCTGAACGTGGTCCAAAATCGATATTGATTGGGCGGACGTCCCAAGTCGAATTCAGCATGTCGGCAGAGGCTGGGCCGCTGCTTTGAGTGGGAGTGGCCCGAGTGTCACGCTTGTTTTCTGTGTGGAGATCAGGAAGCGAACCTCAAGGTATGTACTAGCCTACGTGGAAGGCTCTCAGCAGACGCCCTGCAGGGTCCAAGCTGAGACGCATACCTCTTTCAACTTTTTGAAGCAACTCCCGCCTTGCCCCCCAAAAAGAAACCGAGGTCAGTAGTTTGTGTAACTGATTTCTGATGCTTGGGCTCGCCTTGCAGGATGCCTTTCAATTCAGAAGCATGTGAAGTTGAGCTCCCAAGGAACTACATTCACAGCCACGGGATCGTCCACCGAGCTCCTGGGTTTGCATCTAATTTCCTCGTTAGATTGCTCGAAGCTCGAATTGTCCACAATTGTTACGGGATGTGAGGGTCTGTACGCAGTTTAAGGAGGAACAGGAACGCGAAGTCACACAGAATCAAGTGTGCCTTGCACTGGTGAGGACATCAAGCTGGAGAACTTCATGTATGCCCGCAAGGACTCAGGGGCAGTGTGCTGGAATCAGCTCGTACCTTCGGCGTGCCTATGATGTGCCAGAGTGTCAGTCATTCCTACCCAGTAGGATACTGACCACCTGAAACTCATCGACTTTGGGCTCAGCACCGTGGCAAGAACATGATACGGTCAGGTGTACAACTGCCACTGTGTGACCAGCGGTCGCTTGTACACGCTTGCCCAAGCAGTGTTGCCACAGGGAGCATTTGCCTCTGGCACCATCACAGCCTTGTTCTGTAACCGTGTCATATCATCGCAAGGGTCTCCGAAGCGTGCTTGAATTTGAGGCAAGGTGTGGGAACCGAACACGAAGATGGAGGCTCCTGCAAAGGTTAGGCAATCCGTGGTGCTTCTTGACTTGTTCCAGGCAAGCTGCGGGACGCTGGGGTACATTGCCCCAGAGGCATCCGGATCTACCGGCGGAAGCCGCCTGATATTCCTCAGTCCCCCACAGTGCTTTTGTCCCTCGCACGCCGTGCCCCGGAGGTGTTGAACAAGACCTACAGCTCCAAGTGCGACCTGCGGTGGCCTCAGAGTTGCCCCACGGCTCTCCCTCGGTCCCTGTCTCTCTCTCTCTCTCTCATTCTCCCTTTTTGTTTTTCATTCTCGCTCTCTCTCTCTCTCTGTCTCCTTCTCTCTCTCTCTCCCTCTCCCTCTCTCTCTCTCGTTCTCTCTCGGCCTCACTTGGCCTCGTTCTCAGGTGGTCTTTGGGAGTGATTGTGTATATCCTCCTGTCCGGCTGCATGCCTTTCGCCGGATCCGACTTCGGGCACTGATAAAAGCTCGGCTTCAGGCTTTGCAGGATGTGCAGTGCTGCTATTTCCAGTGGTTCCTGCAAGTTTGTTCTCTGCAACACCTGGTGGACAGCTTCGTCGCGACAGCTTAGTGGGAAGGACAACAAAGGGAGAGAGGAGCTGTATCCAGTAAAAGGCCTCAGTCGAAGGACTTGCTCTGGCCAGGCTGCCAGCTTCGCGAGCAACTTGCCTTGTCGCAATCGCTGCCAAGGAACAGCATCAAATTGTGTGCATCATGTCCGGCATGTACGATATGGATGACGAGGCTGGAAAGGGAATCCAATTCGAATCAGCTGAAACTTACATACTGACGGTCTCGTGCTTCGATTCCCTTTTCGGCGGGGCTCGGGTGCAGGAGTGGACGCCGGTGTCTGCCGTGGCCAAAGACTTTGCCACCTGGCCAAGATTTTGACGTTTTGTTGGCAGCAGTTTGTGCTTTAAAGTTTCATATTGTTTGTGCATGTCCTATGGGAGAATCGAGAGGTCAGAAAGCTTCTGGTGGTGGACTCCTCTGAGCGAATGAGTGCTGACGAAGCTCTGGCACATGCATGGATCAAGGACGGAATTGCTGTCATTGCAGGGGTTCGAGCTTGGAGTGCAAGGAGAGTTCATAACATAGCAGCCACTCCTCCGCGGAATTCCTATCCGGTGGGTGGGGTACGTCGTTGGCCGGTCGCTTCAACCCCTCTAGGAAGCGCGGTAGTCATGTTGGCTTCTTCTTGCTTTGTGCAGCGTTGTATGCTGCAGAAATACTGGGTCGCGTCTACTTCATCTCTGTTTGCTGTGTCGCGCTTTGAGCTCTTCCTCTCTCTTGTGTGTGTGGCCCCCGTGGAAGGCAGGCTTTAGTGCATTCAAACCGACGGGGCTCCAGGCCTCCCACCCAACCTGGAGCCCTCGAAGGCCCCCGCGCACAACCAGCTGTGGTCTCTGACACAGAAGATTGGCAAGGGCACCTTGTCGCGGTTGT